AATTAATAATTAAAGTTGCTCAACAATTAATCTTTAAAATGTAACAATCAATTGTCGAATACACTATCGCCCTCTTTGGAGTTGAAGTTTAACTAAACATTTTGCGTAATATTTTCAAAAAGTTTTTTCTTTCATTAAATAATAATAATAATATTTCGTAATTATTTTTTTTTCTAAATTAATTATAATTTGACAATGACCTGGAATTAAATCATCTTTCATTTCTTTTTTGTTACTCATAATTAACCTTTAACATGAAGAAAAAGATTAAATTATAATTATAATTATTATTATTATGATGATGATTACGTGAATGATGATTATGAATCAACAATCAACAACAGAAAAGCAACAATTTGTCATAATTAATGTAATAGAGAAAAATAATTTACTCACATTTTCATTGAGTCTTTTGTCTTTTTAAATGTTAGTTAAATTAAAGGAAATTATTAATTTTCAAGTTTAATTGTTTTCAGAATTGATAACATGAAACATAAATTTATTTCACTCTTTTTACCAGGCAAAATTTCATGGTCGGTGAAAGTATTTAATTGATCCAATTTCCTTGATACTCAATTGATTTCAAAGATAAATATCTCTGTTCAAACGACTATAAAACACACACACACACACACACACAAATAAACAGCAATCTCTCTGATATTATCAATTAATAGTCATTAAGTATTCACATTTACTAATTGGTTGTTTACCTTTTTTTCACTTTCAGGAATCTCAACATCATCATTACCAACAACAACAACAACAACAACAACATCATCATCATCATCATCAACAACAACATCAACCTTCATCGTCTCATCAAGCCATAGAGATTCGTTGACGAAGGGATTTTTTTTTACCATTTCTAAGGGATATACAACTAGTTGCAATATATTGAAAAAAAAAATGAACTTTTTATAGTGATATCAACCATAGGAATATAAATATATAAATATAAATACATACAAAATGCTGTTACAAAAGGAGGAAAAAAGTGATTCAAATTCAGATTTAACTGGTATGTTAACCTTTTTATTTTCATTCATCATCATTACAATTAATCATTATCACAGAACCGTTGATTAAATAAATTGCATAATTAACTCTGATTAATCAGAATAGTCATTAAAAACCTCGTTCTTATTGTTGTTTGTGTTTTTCTATTAATCATTTAAACAACAAATGTAATTGTTATCCATTGCATATAAACAGTATTATCGTTTAATACGATAATATAAATATACTATATATATAATATTTAATTGTTTCACATGTTTATCATTTGATGATGATAATAATAATAATCATTTGGTGTTTTTCTATTTTATTCTTTCTTTTTTCTCTGTTCAATCTGATAGTTACCCTGTTAGATCTGAGACTGTGTGTTTGTCTTGGTTATGTTGATTTGTATGTGTATATTAAACCTTCTGAGACTTTTATAGCTCAATTGAAATGTCATTGTTCCCATGAAAAGATTCAAGGTTATTCGTGTCTTCTCATGTTGAGCATTCTCTTTCTCTCTCTCTTTCTTTCTATCTCTTTCTTTTTCTCTCCTCTCATCTAGTACTTCATGATAAAATGAGAAAGAAAAACAAAACTCATGATGTTATATAGAGAGAGAAAGAGAGGGTTGTAAGTTCTTGAACAAGTGAATATCTTGCTCAGTTATATTCTTGTTGTAACGAATTCAACTTGTAGATAATGTGAAAAGTCAAGACACCACACTGAACTTTTTGTTTTCCTCTCACAATAACACACTGGCCATTAGTTTAAAGAGCGATGAAATTATTTCTTCATAAATGTAACACAATTTTTTATACTTCATTTTGGTAGTTTCATGTAGCACAAATCAGACCAGTTTACCAAACAGAATCTGAAGAAATTCAAGAAGCGCCTCAACTGTAGTATTAAAGATTAAATGTTCAATATTGTGCTTTTAATATAAAATTAGTAAAATTTGCTTTGATAAGAAATTAGCGCTCTGAAGGTAAACGTTTGTTCAGATGAACAGGATCCAAAATAAACGAAATACTTGTTAGAAACGTAGCCGAATTATTCCTATGGACGATTCTAAATAAGAATCTTACCTTTCCAGTATTCGAAAATGAAACGAAAAGAGAAATAAAAAACAATCTGTATCAGTAGGCTTAGAATCTGCGTTCAATTAACTCAACGATGGTGAAATTGGTTGTTTCTTTTTCATTCTGATTATTATTGCTATTGATTCAATGATAACATTGAATCTATACCAATAAATTGTCATAATTATTAATACACATTAACATTGATATATTTCATGATTTTTTTTCTCTATTCCATGAGGTCAATTATCTTTCTCTATCGTTCTCACTCTCATTATCTAAATTGGACCGAGAGAGAGAGAGAGAGAGTTAATTAAGTTAATTAACTCTTATCATAGATCACCTTCATTACTTATCTTCGTCAATTTTTTTCTTGATATTTGATATGAGAGACGAAAAGTGTTGACAGTTAATTGTGATGATCTTTTTTTCTCTTGAAAATATTGAACAAGATACCTTGATGATTATTTACTATTTGAGTACTTGCGATTTTGTTGGTTTTGTATCTTAATTGAAGTTTACCAATCAGTTGATTGTTTTTACTTATTGGGTGTTGATTGTTAGTCTTTCTTTATGTATAATCACTTTATATTTATACATTAATAGGCACAAGATCAACCTCTCCATTGCTTTTTTATACTAATAATAATATGTCAGTGTAATTAAGACTGGTAATTATGATTATCATAATCATCACCATCATTTGCTGTCAATTATATTTTTTGTTTTCAAAATCATTGACGGGATAAGATTATTTTTAGATAATCTTATAAACGAGTAGATTAATATTTGATCTGTTTGAATGTGAAGAAGTTTAGTTTGCTTGAAAATCTTGGTAATTTTTTGATATTATTATTAAAATGACCTTTTGCCTGAATGAACATCATCTTAGGCTGAACTGAACTTTCTTTTTTGCTTACGTATCTACGTATTCCTCCTCCTCCCACCCACCCTCTTTTTCCATTCTATTCCAGAACTTATTCAGAAGAAGAAAAAAATAACGCTTGCACAGAACGAAAAAGAGAACTATAAGAAAAAGGAGGGAGTTAGAGAGAGAGAGAGAGAGAGAGAGAGAGAGAGAGAGAAATGAATCAAGAAAAGAATCATGAAAAGAAGAAAATGATGATGACGATGACGATTGGAGCAGAAGCAGGTAAAAGAATATCAAGCAAAAGAGAAAAGGGAAAAGATGATGACGATGAGAAGTAATAGATGAGAAATGGTAAAATAGAGAGAGAAAGAGAGAAAGAGGGGTGAGGTAAGAGAAGAAAGAGAGAAGAGAGAGTTTGTTTCATTTGAGATAAGCTGAAAACGAAAGAGAGAGAGAGAGAGAGAATGAATCAAGAAAAGAATCATGAAAAGAAGAAAATGATGATGACGATGACGATTGGAGCAGAAGCAGGTAAAAGAATATCAAGCAAAAGAGAAAAGGGAAAAGATGATGACGATGAGAAGTAATAGATGAGAAATGGTAAAATAGAGAGAGAGAAAGAGAAAGAGAGAAAGAGGGGTGAGGTAAGAGAAGAAAGAGAGAAGAGAGAGTTTGTTTCATTTGAGATAAGCTGAAAACGAAGAGAGAGAGAGAGAGAGAGAGAAATGAGTGAGCAAAAAACAACCAAAAAAAGAGATGATAAGATGTATTAGAAAGAGAAGAAGAAAGAGAAGAAGCAAGTTGATGAGAGAGTATAAAGGGAATGTGGTTAGTGAGTGAGAGGGGCAAAGAAGATAAGGGAGATGAAAGAAAGAAAAAAAGAAAGAGAAGATAAAGAGAGAGAGCAAAGTGAGATGAGATTAGAGATGATGTTTGTACTATGTGTGCAGTTTGTATACGAAAAGAGACTTAAACTCAGAAACCTGGTGAAACAGTCTTTTTGTAGCTTTCGCTTATAAAATTTCATTACTTTCTCTCCTTGTTCCATTGCCCTTTCATCATTATTACAACTTTCTCTCTCATTTACACACCACCCCCTTCTCCCCCTTTTACTCACTCTCTGTGTCCACCATCATCATCATTATCATCCAAGTACATTGACAACAACAAACAAGATTTACTATCGTCACTACATTTTCATTTTTCCACCAACAATCAACGACAATCAGTTCAACTCCTTTTTTTTCCCTCTGATTAATATTTGCCTTTAATTCAGTTTTAACTAATTAAAATACAAACACTCATTATCATTGTTTTGATTTTATGTCTATGTGAAACTAGATTTGATTTCTTCTTTTTGCTAATCAACAATCAATAAGTGTTTATTTTTATTGATTGATTATAGCAAAAAAAAAAGAAAACAGTATAAACAAATTAAGCTTTAAATTGACAGTCAACATATTTTCGTTTTCATGTTAACTTATTGCTACCATTATAATAATCATCATCATCATCATCAACAACAACATCAATATTATTGATAAATATTATGATTATTGTAATTACTACAATGATTATTAATTGATAAAGTATTTATTGTAAAATTTTCCAAGCCCTAAGCCCTTTAATGTGTATATGTGAATGAGGATTTTTGTTGTTGCGCATTTCAACATTTATTATTATTATCACAATCAAAGTTGATCATCAATATCATCATCAGGATCATCAGGATAAAGGTCAACATCATCATCACCATTATCATCAAACCTTATCATATGAATACCTAAATCCAATTAAATTATATATATAAATTTTATTTTATTGTGTCAATTGTCAGTGGTGGCCTTTGCTTATATGTTAAATTTATATAAACCCATATAAATGACAATTAAAACTTAATTGTTATATTTTTTAGTTAATTATCATTAGACAGAAACAAAGTTAAAATAGTGAACAATTTTGCTGATCGTTATTATTGTTGTTCAACTGAAAAACATTACAACCTCAGGAAAAACTATATAAATACGTTTTTATCTGTTATCAAGCTGATCAATTTTGATAACAAAATTGGTAGGCAACAATCAACTGTTTGACAATCAACAAAACGGAAACATATTAATTAATCAAAACTGGATCCATTAGTTTTATTCTGGTTAAGCCAAACCCGGGCTGATAGGGTAGTGGAAGAGTTTCTTGATGGTTCCTTTTCCTCTCCCAATTCATCACCCAATTCAACTGACCTTGGAAATGGGAGTAAAAAAGTCCATCCAACTTTTCCAGATGATTTTATGACCGAAGATTTATTAAGTAAATTAGGTCCATGTAATATACCAAGGATAAAAAGAGAAGCCGAATCTTCATCATCAAATCGTCATTCACCTTTAATTCATAACAATAACAATAATAATACAAACAGTAACAACAACAACAACAACAATCATCACGTTATCAGTAACAGTACTCATAATAATAACACTACAATGATTTTAAACAGTAATAATATGTCACCGTGCTCATTGCAACCAATTGTTCGTAAACGTTCAGCTCTCCAAGTAACACCAGGTTCAAGCACGTTAAATTGTGGTTCTATCGTTGAAAGTTCACCGGAAGTTAGTTCCAGTCAAACTGGAACTGGCATTTCCCCTGTGCCCAGTCTCAATTCATCTGAGATTGGTGAAGTTGATCTTGACTTTTGGGATCTCGATATAAATGAGAGCTCCTCGATCTCCCACTCTTCAGGTAACAAATCATCTACATACACCAACACTTATACACTCACACACATAAATTCAAACACAGTTGATAAGGTTTCATGAGTTTTTCTTGTTGAAACTCTTTCTCTCTCTCTCTCTCTCTCTCTCTCTTTTGATGTTCATTCATTAATTGGTTTTTATTACATCACCCATACACTTTTCTTGAAGTTTCAAACTCTAATAACATTGGAGATTCATTGTTTATCATGTTTATATTTATTTATATCATTTTTGTTCAATGAATCAACATGAATAATTTATCACAGCTTAAAGTTTGTTTTTCGCATCTTTCTATTAACGATAAGCTCATCTCATTCCCAGCATTTTAACTACCACCCACTACAGATCATCATTCAGCTCTTTCTATTTCCATTTTCTCTGTCTTCTTTTTACTCTTTCTCTTTCTCTCTTATCGTTCACTCTCTTCTACACTCTTCATGTTTTGTTTTTCATCGTGTTCTCATTTCACTGAATCATGACTTAAATTAGCGTGCAATTATCGGAGAAAGAAAGAAAGAAGATGATGATAATAATAATGACTTCAGTATAAATGATGATGATGATGATGATGATGATAATGATGTGAAAAAGAAGGATGTAAATGGGGAAAAGGGCGAAAAGAAGAAAAAGTGGGAAAGAGAAAGAGAAAGATGATTTAACTGGAGCATCTTGTTGTTACCCAAAAACTTTTTACTCGAAAAAAAAAGAAAGAAACGAATTCAAGTTATATGACGTTTCGCACTCATTCACTCACTCATTCACTTGTTGTTGTTGTTCATGATAAACTTGATTTTGTCGTTGAAATTGAAAATAAGTCTAAAATAAAAGGATGAACATGTAGAAAGAGAAAGAAAAATGAAAAACACATTTTCACGGTCAGGTCACCATCAGTCTGCATCAATTCATTCAGCCTTCTTCATCATCATCATGTAATAAGGATAATAAAAAAAAGGGAAAAAGGTAAAACTTTTTCTCTTTCTTTATCTCTCTCTTTCTCACCATTCCCTGCGTTCATTGACACAAATTCATTTTCAAAACTGCAATTAACATTAATAGCAACAACAACAACAACAACAACAAGTAGAAAAAACCTCTGTCATTCACATTGCAACTTGTTTGTTGTTTAGCCTTTGTTAGTGTTCATCTTTTGTCTTCATTTTTTCAGATTCAATCTTCATCTTCACTCTCTCTCTCACTCACTCACTCTCTTTTCTTTACTCTCTGTTACTTTTTTTCACCACGTTGCAAGTTTTTACCTTTCATGTTACTCTTTTCTACCTTTCTTCAAACTCTCTCTCTCTCTCTCTCTCTTGCTATTTTTTACTCTCCCCACTTACTCTCTCTCTCTCTCTACCTTTACATAACAACACAAAAAACATGTCAACAACCCTGAAGTAAAGAGTCGGTTGTCCATTGTTACCAGAGAAAAGCAATGAAACTCAGCATTGAGTCAAGTTGATTGACGTTGCTATTTTCAAGGTTAGCCAATGAGAGGGAATTAAATAATCATCTATCATCATCTTCTTTTTTTCTTCTTCTTCATCATCAAATCATCTTACCATCTCTCTCTCTCTCTCTCTCTCTCTCTCTTTCTCTCTTTGCTTCTCTTTCTTTATTTTTCTCCCCTTTTTCTTTTGACTCTTTCTTTTTTTCTAAATCAGCTCTCTCTTTTTCTCTTTCTATTTTATTTTATCTTCTTCTTCTCTTGCCTTGCTCACTCTGCTGTCCTTGAATTAGGACAGTCTCCATGGAAACCTGTTAGGGCATTGCACTCATTTGGTTTCCAAGGGCACGTCAAGGGTGAATCCAATCTTCTTTCTTTTTCAACCATGAAAGAGAGAGGAAAAGAAAGAGAAAAACAATCTCAAAACTTTATCATCATTTTTCATCATCACTTTTTTTTTCTACTTTTCCATCAGCTTCAGCTAATTCAGCTTGTTCAGCTCATTCAATTCCAGTTTCAGCTCTCTAGCTTATTATTATTGATCAAACCAATTTACTTTTTGCATACTTTTTTTCTATGAACTGAGAAAACTTAGATTCTCATCTTATATGCTCTCTCTCTCTCAAATCAACAACATTATCATCTTACGATTCTCTCTATTTCTTGGCTCTTCTTATTTTTCTGGGTTTTCACTTCCTTTTTTGCCTCTGCCATTTTTGCGTTACAAGTGTCAGCCAGACAACTTGACCTCTAGGGAAGATTCCACTTGTAAATAGCAAGGAAAACGTTTTTAGTGCTAGTGGCCACTAGCGCAAGAATTTATTCTAATAAAAATAACTTGCACAAACAACACTCATTGTGGGTTTGGTCATCATCTTATTTACTGTACAGAAGAAAAGAAGATGCAGCAAGAGTCCAGTGTGTACTTACATACCTTTGGTCAATGTCAAGATTTTAATTATCTTGTTAGACATATACGATAATTGATGTCCATTTTTCGTTTTACCCTCAAGATTTTACTCTAATAATAATCTTGGCAATCGATTTGTACCTTGTTAGTAAAAGAGAGTGAGCAGAATTAGGAAGAGTATTGAGAGAGAGAGAGAGAGAGAGAGACCAGAAATCAATTATATTCTCATCATGATAAGCTTTTCGAAAAGAAAATTTATATTTATATGTAATAGCACCACTATTAGAACGGCAGGTTGGGAAAGTTTGGCCTTTTCTCATGATGGTCACTCTCTTGGCCTTTTGTGTTTGTTTTACGTAGAAAGAAAAAAAAACTTTGACCATAACTTGTTTTCGTCTTTGATGTAATATTTATTATATAGAAAAATATCTTACAAGTGTAAGAGATTTTAAGTAAACGAGAAAATAGCGTTGAAAACTTATTTCAACGTTTTCCAGGTCATAATCTGGTAAACAAACAGGAACGGTCATCCATCACGTGGAAAGATCAATTAGAACTTGAAATCTTATATAAATCTAATTTAATCTAAAGTTACATTCTCTGTAATTAAAAAGTAATCGATCTAATAAAGATTTAATCGTAACAACCAAGTAACAAAAAAAAAGTATCATCAGCGAGTTACACCGGTCAGTTTGAGGAGTGTTTTCTATTTGTTTTTGCAGGTCAATCTGAGATTAATGTGATTCACTGTATCTTGAATTTAATCTGCAAATAGAATAGAAAAGAAAACAACAATAAGAACGTTGGTACAAAAAGTTATTTGACCAAATTGTCGATTTAAAAGCCAATCGATCTAAATTGGTTGATATTGAATAATATGCAAAAATGAAGGTTTGCCCTACCTTCTTTATTGTTAGAAAATGAGAAAAGGTCAGTTGTGTGACACTGACCAAAACGGTTCTACATGTATATACCGTTTTCGAAGTAAAATTTATTCCAATATTTTGCTTTTCTCTCAACTAATATGTCATTCTCTTGTCATATGTTTTATCTTCTCCAGGTAAAGAAGACATGAGTCCGCCAAATAGTGTCAACGGCTATAATAGTGCAGATAGTTTTGGCGATCCGAAGAAAAAGAAAGGTCCAGCTCCTCGACAACAAGAAGAGCTGTGCCTTGTCTGCGGTGATAGAGCCTCTGGTTACCATTATAATGCTCTTACCTGTGAAGGATGTAAAGGTAAATATACTTTTTCTTATTTCCTTTTGACTATTTTTCTTTTTTTCTCTCTCTACAAGATGAATATTCTTTTATTTTCTTACTCTGGGTTCGACGACAACAACAAAATACTTGATAACCCCTCCTACTCCTCTTTAGCTCTCCTTTCTCCTCTCTCTCTCTCTCACACACACACTCACTATTTTTTACTTTTCTCCCTTGTGACCAGCGGTGAATGTACAATACAATTTATATATTACATGTATAAGAAGTAAAAAAAAATGTATCTAAAATTTACCGTGATGAATTGTGAAAAATTCACCTGAGCAACTTGAGCCATTTGCTATTGTACATTTACAACTAGCCCCCCATCGGTCAATGTGATTCACCTTAGGCTAGTTTACCTTATCCATTGCAATGAATATAGACAATCGCCAATACCACCCAGAAACACTCCTCTCTCTCTCTCCCCCCTTGACCGCCTGTTGAGTCTTTGCAAGAAAATACTCTTACAGTATTAAACATCAACTATTACAGATAGAAAGTGAATTAACTTATTAGTATATTTTGTCAAATCATTTCACCTCAACGAAATTCAGCAAAATTTTATATTCGTTCATATCTCTCTCATGATAAATCATATCAATAAATGGTTACTAATGCTTTTGTTTTTCATCTTCTATTTGTTTTACTTTCTCTCTCTCTCTCCTTATTCCTGTTATACTCACCATGGTGATCTTTCTCACTCACTCTTTCCTCTTTAATTGTTGATTATATTATTTTAGTTGATTTAATTATAACCATAACCACCATTGACGATTGTTATTATTGATTTTCATCTTTTGAATCCCTTAATGGAAAAACAAAATATCATTTACACACTAATTAAATTGGTCATTTTCTATGGCATCTAATCATAAATTATAATCAAACTAATGGGTGGTCAATATATATTTACCTCTATATTTTTATTTTCTTGTCAATTATTTTTCGGATAGGTTTTTTCCGTCGAAGTATAACAAAAAACGCGGTTTATCAGTGCAAATATGGAAACAATTGTGACATCGACATGTACATGAGGCGTAAATGTCAAGAATGTCGCTTAAAGAAATGTCTTAATGTCGGTATGAGACCAGAATGTGTTGTCCCGGAGTACCAATGTGCCATCAAACGGGAATCCAAAAGAGCCCAAAAAGAAAAAGATAAGCCCAATAGTACTACGAAAGACGCATCACCCGATAAAGAAGATAAAACTCTGGTTCTAAGTGGAACCAAAACACCGACCACATCGCCGACCCTGGCACCAAATGAGATTAAAAAATTAACCCCTCAACAAGAGGAAATAATCAAACAACTAGTCTATTATCAAGACATACACGAGTCTCCCTCCGAGGCTGATGTTAAAAGTGTAACGGTAAGTATCATCAATAGTAATTAGATGTGTATCAACACCCAAAATAATATCAACAATCTAAATGAAATTCTTACAAAATTAACAATCAATTTACCTTTTTCTTTTCTTCTTATCATTTTTCTCTCTCTCTCTCTATTGGTCATTTATTTGATTAATCTGAATAGCCTTTCCCTCTGGGTGAAACTGAAGATGACAATATTAAAAGGTTTCAACACATGGCTGAGATGACCATCTTAACTGTCCAATTGATTGTCGAGTTTTCTAAAAGGGTTCCTGGTTTCGATACATTATTAAGGGAAGATCAAATTACCTTATTGAAAGTAAGTTATATTTCACCATGATCATGTTTATCCTCAATTCACCAGAATTAAATCTATACAAGATTATCTAATTTTTTGTTTTCTTCTCTTTCTCTTTCAAACAGTCTTGCTCAAGTGAAGTTATGATGTTGAGATCTTCGAGAAAATATGATATTAAGACAGATTCGATTGTGTATGCCAACAATCAACCATACACAAGAGAAAACTACTTCAGTGCAAGTGTCGGTGTCGCAACCAATCAAATTTTCGGCTTTTGTCGTCACATGTGTCTACTCAAAGTGGATAACGCTGAATACGCACTTCTCAACGCTATTGTGATCTTCAGTGGTACGTTAAGAATTGATTCTCTCTTATATTTGACATGAAATTTTATTTTTATAGTTTACTAATGATTTAACTTGTTTTCTTTTATTTTATCAATCACAGAGAGGCCACAATTAATTGAACCCAAAAAAGTGGAAAAAATTCAAGATTTTTATATTGATACACTTAAGTGTTATATTGAAAACCGCAGGCCTCCATCGAAGTGCTATTTCGCCAAACTGTTGGCAACTTTAGTCGAGCTCAGAACTCTTGGAAGCATGAATTCGGAAATATGCTTCTCACTTAAAGTCCAGAATAGGAAGTTACCTCCCTTCCTCGCCGAGATCTGGGACATTCAAGAATAGGCACCAAATCCTCCCTTACAACCTTCCCCTTCGCATTATAAACTTTCACTTCCCATCAAACAAAAAATTCCCCACATCATCATCTCTATTATAATATAATAATAATTGAATTTATTTTACTTGCTATTGATGATGATGTAAATCTTCATCTCTCTCTCTCTCTCTCTCTCACCTCAAAAACAATCATCTTCAAATTACTTTCTCATTTCACCCCTTTAACTACACACACTCTCTCTCTCTCTCTCTTTCTCTCTCTGCCCCTTGTCCACTCTTGAATATCACCATCAAAATCAAATCAAACTAAAAACCTACAGCTTGCTGATATTCACGTTGGTTTGTTTTTTTCAGTCATCTTTTCATTGTAAAAACAAATTGTTACTAATTGAGGTGGATTTTCACTCATCAATTGAGTCCTTAATGGTCATAATAAATTAACTTGATCGATAAAACAAAAAAACTTTGCGTAAACGTGATTAACATTAACATTAAGTTTACTCATTGTTTTAGATACAAAAAACTCACACACACACAAAAGCCTTAAAATTTTTGGCACCGAAAAAAAGACAAAAATAAAATGCCAACAGAATGAAGTTCAACCTCAATTAGCAACAATTTAATTATAAATATCTAATTAATGGTTAAAGAAAAAGCAAACTATTAACTCCCTTATAAACACTTCGGGTTTCACATAACGACTTCGGCTGGGACATGAGATGACATTTTGTTTGTGACAACAAAAAAACACTTCGTTATCTAAATACAAAATGACAGAAAATATTGTCAAATATTGGAAATCATGTTGATTTTATAGCTTTCTAATTATCCTCATCTCTTTTATCCTTGAATCTTTTTTCTTCCAATGGAAAAGTTTTTCTTCTTTTCATTTGGTCAACAATTTAACTGTGGACCATCAATTATACCACCAATTAAATTGTTGACCATTTTAAATAATAACAAATTATTAACAATTAAGTGAAAATACTACTACTATTTAGTTGCTTAATGAGCATCTACAAATCTCCTTTGTTCTCATCATCATCATTTCTCTCTCTCTCTATCTTTTCACGTTCACGTTCATGTTCATATTCATTTCTTTTTTCTTCATCATGTTCATTAATTCATCATCATCATCATCATCATGTATCATCTCCTGCCTTTGCCGAATTCTCATGGAAACTCATCGAAATCAAGTGCAACTAGACGAATATCATCATCAATTTATTAATTGGAAATAATTAACAAAAGATAAACAAAAAGCTGTAATATGTTATTGTAACAACCACACAAATACAACCATCTCTTCATCCCCTTGACCATTTAAACTCATCTCTCTCTCTCTCTCTTTCTTTTTTCATTCAAATCCATTGTCCACTTATGTAAACCTTTGAAAACTTCATTTCTTCAATTTTATCTCTTTCTTTCCACCTTGAGTTTGTTAAATCTTCTTCATTGCCCCTCCCTGTTACAATCTTCTCTCTCTCTCTCTCTCTCTTCTTGTTTTTTTCATCTTCAGCATTATCATCATCAGGATCAACATCCTCTCATCCTCTCACCTGATGATAAAATGAACTACAACAACCTCGTCTCCTCTGAATTGCTCTCTCTCCCTTTCTATTGCTCTCTCCCTCTCTTCTTATATACATATTTAAACCGATGGAAGAAATTGAAGAAAAATCTTTTTTTGAAACTATTGAAAATACAACCATGGAAATGTATTGATGAGTATTTTTCTCAAGTTATATGAGGTTAATTGCTAAAAGAAAATTATTGAAATACAACAATTAAAAGTTGGAGAGATTCGATATTCATTAATTCATTTGTTAAATTTACGAAATAAAAAAAAGAAAACAAATTAAATTTAATAATTTAACAAAGTTAAAAAAAAAGAATAACAAAAAAACTCATTTTCTTTGCTCATTTAAATCAATTTATTTTCTTATTGTTGATTGCCAATTAATTTATTGGCAATTTAGATGCTATTTAGTTACAATAATCACTTTTCTTACCAATTAGAGGGAATCATGATTGATTGAACAGTTTAATTTGATTGTTTCCCATAAATTTCACTCATACAACAAACTTGGATCATGGTTATTTAACTTTGACATTTAATTGTCTCTCGTTGGATTGTTTTGATTTAGTTAATTGTTTGATTAGTGAAATTTATTTACATGGATAGAAAGTTGATTTACTTTTATGCTTGATTCCGATCGGTGTGGTAATTGGACAATATTTACTGACCAGTGTAACAATTAAACTGGTGGAAAATATTAAATTGATTTAGTAAATTGTTTCATTGTTTCATTTAGTTTGATACTCACTGAGAATTGGGATCATTGTAATTGTGAGAAATTAGAATTGGATCAAAATAAATTATCGGGGTTGACATTAAGTAAATCGGATTGTAAGGTGATTTCAATGTCCATCGAAGGTCAATCGATGAAATGTTGGCCAATGGTACAAACGAATAGATTTGCGAGGTGTAATTACGATTCATGGCAATCTTTACATCGCTGTATAAAAGCACAATTAAAGGTTAATTGTCAACAATTAGCGAGTCAATATTGGTGTTTAACTTACTTTGGAGTGAGAGTGAAATGCTCTTTACCAGTGCTGATACTTTTAATTGCTGAATTTGTGTAATTAATGTCAATTTTAATTTTACCTTTGTGTTCACTGAATTTAATTGCTGACGATGTTTTAATTGTTACATTGTAAGAGTAATCTTAATCAGAGAGGGAGAGAATCAAATAATTATTAATGATTAAGGTTAAAAACAACTTTCACCTTTTTTTCAATTCAAGGATTCAACAGTAATTAACAACAATTAACAACTTACATTGAGCGAAAGCTTCAGTTGTAACAATTACATTTAACCAGGTGAATGTGATGACAACAATTAACATTGAAATGGTTTTAATTGTGAACAACATGATTGATCAATTGAAACAAACAATTAACTATCGAGAATCTGTTACAATTTATAAATCATTTGTTATCGTTTAACTTTTATGATTTTAATTGCTTATGATTAGTTACTCTTAGAAATTATCAGTCTGATTGATTGATCTATACAATAGACAATCAGTTAATTGCTCTGCAATTATTGGGATGTTATCATTAATTCAAGAATTATATTATTATTATGATAATAATAATATTCCGCCAGATGGAGTTTCGATTTCGTAACGAAATTTAAAATTAAAGTTAATTTATCACTTTAATTGGAGAATTGGATCTCGATTCATTTTCGAGAGGTCAAAACTTTTTCGTGATCAAAAGTTTCGAGTTAGTCTGTTAATTGTAATTAATTGTTCCAATAATCAAAAACTGAACTGAAGGTTGATTAATTATCTTTATCACTTGATTACTTTTCCTTGTATATAAATTGTAACCCTAATTATCACTCTTGATTCCTTATTAGTTTACTTGGTTATTTAATTAGCAATTTAATCGTTACCATTAAACACACAAATCAGTTAATTAAGTTGAAAGAATTGCGCTAAAATTTTGATCATAAATCACAATTTAATTACTTCTCATTCGTTTCTAGTTAATTGTAACTCTTTGATTTTTATTGTTAGAATTGATTATAAGTACATGTACTGAACGAACTCAATAAACAAATTACTTTGATAATATTGAGTTAATTAAAGTCAATCAGTGATTAGGTTTGATTGAGATTAACCAATTAACACGAAATAATTGATTTGTAAACTTAATTGTTGATTTTTTAAATTAAAGGGTTGGGTAAGTGGTCATTTTTAATTTACTTTTTTTTTGTTGTTTGTTTGATGATTGATTATTTAAAATGAGTTGATTGTTGATTAAAAAATTTGGTAAACTGATTTACAATTAACATTGATGAAATAGATTCTGAAATTGTGATAGTATGATTATCATTTTGTTCAATTAATTTTCACATGAAAATTTTATCGGTGATTTTGTTTTTCTTTTCAGCGATATAAATGATGAAATGATACTAATAATAATCTAATGATTTAAATGGTTGATGTTGTGTTTCCATTTAAATTATTGATTTAAATTTAAATTTAAATTCTAATAATGGTCTTCAGCGTAGTGAACCTTAGCTGGTCGGTAAGTGGGCTCGTATGATTGCTCCTTGTAAGGTGGAAGTGGTTGGTAAGGTTGAGCGATTTTGTAGTTGTATGCTGGAGTATAAGGCTCTTTGACGTAGGGTTCGGCCTTGTAGTGGGCACTTGGTCGGTATTGTGGAGTAGCATAAGATGGACCGTAGGTGCCGGTGTAATCGTTTGTTGGGTAGTAGTGGGGCTTTGGATGGCTCACTTGTTTGTAGTGTTGAACAGCATATTCATGGGACTTTGGTTCGTAGCTTGGTCGGTAAGAGGGTGATTTGTATTCACTGTGGTAAGGCTTGTGAGCGGGTTTGTAGGCTGGTTCAGGGTAATGTTCGTGCTTGTATTCAGGCTTATGCTCAGGTTTGTATTCTGGCTTATATTCTGGTTTGTATTCTGGCTTGTATTCTGGTTTGTATTCGGGTTTATACTCGGGTTTGTATTCGGGTTTGTAGCTTGCACCATATTCGGCCTTGTGATTTGGTTTATAATCGGCTGATGGTAAACCCTTTGGTGGTTCACTGACTTCCAAGTTTACACCGGCGGGTGATTTACTTTTAATTACACCAGGTTCATTTGTACGGATTGTTGCTCTGAAACCATATTCATCAGCGACGTAGTCAACTACTCGGTAAACACCATGGGCATCAGTGTATCCATATGAACCTTTCTTGTTTCCATAGTCATCTCCTTTCTCTTCCTGTTGATAAAATAATAGATTGTGTAAATAATTAACTTTCTGAAGAATCAAATCTTTATGAAATCGATACAATCTAATACTAATTTGAAAAACCAAAAACTCGTGAAAAAAGTTTTCAGGAAGTTTAAAAACTTTCGATTCTAATGGGATATCGAAACTTGTTCTGATCAAAAAATATTATTAATATCTGGTTAAAGTGAGAAAATGATTCAAATCAAATGAGAAGAGAAATTGAACTGAAACAGTTTCCATTATGATTAATTGATCTCACTAATCACTAATCTCTGACTGAATCGTGTTCGAAGATTAACTAATCGTGTGAAAATTTTGCGAATAAATTATCAAATTATTGGAAACTTACTTGATGTTGAGTGTTTCCATATCCATCATCAACAGCGTATCCATAGTTGTATGGAATCTAAAAGAAAAGTGGATTCATTTTTATTCAAACGATTTACTGAGAACCTCGAATAACAATCAACTGGCTCCGATTCTTACCTTGTGCTTTTGTTCATATTCTGGTTTGTGGTCTGTTTTATATTCGGGCTTGTATTCGGGTTTGTATTCAGGTTTGTACGATGGTTTGTACTCGGGTTTGTATTCTGGCTTGTATTCGGGCTTATAATCTGGCTTATAATCTGGTTTATAGTCTGGACTATACTTTGGTGCGTATGTTGGTTTAGGATAAGCTTCATGTGAGTATTCACCATGTGAATATCCATAAGGTTCAGGTTGATGAGCTTTGTATGGTTTGTATGTTGATGGTCGGTAGGGATCAGATGATCGTGGGTATGATGGCTCATATTTGGTTGGATGGTATGATGGTGGTGGAGGTGGATCGTAAGTACGTTGTGGTGGATGGTATGGTGCTGGTGGTGGACCATAATCAGCTAATGTCATACCCAATAAAGGTAAAAGCAATAATATCTATCGGGTGTTTCATGTTGAACAATTGAACAGGTGAGTAGGTGAGTGATATGACAAGAAAAAGAGAAGGGGAAAAAGTAATAATAATAATAATAAGACACAATTATTAACAAACTATTGATGATTATCGTTAATTAAATCATTTAAATCACAAAGATTATCTGAATAATGAGGAAATCCATAAATAATTAACAATTAAACACAATCCATGGTATTCCGATTGTTGATTATTATTATTGAAATCACTTTATTTTAATCACAATTAACTTTTTCAACTTCAATCACCTTTGTGGATTAAATTATTGATTCAATTGATTACTTACCTTAAACATGATGAACAATTTTTTATTAAACACTTTCACTTTGATAAACAATCAACTAATGACTTGAATCTCGAAGTTGCTTCGTCCTTTTTTATATACAAGCAGAAAAGAAGGTCGATCTTATGTATTGACCATCGTCATCATGTGTCCATTTGTTTATTCAATTGTCCAGTTTATCTTATTATCATAAAGGTACAGTTTAAGTTGGAGTAAAATTGAAAACTGGGCTGACCAATCGATACTCGAGAAAAGTGGGCGCGATTATCATTCTCATAATCAACTGTTCAGGCCGAAAACAAGGAACAATATTTTCGAACTTAAATTTAATGCTAATTAGTTTAATTTTTTTCTTTTCTTTTTCTTTTTCTTTCTTTTTCTTATTAGTATTGGTCATCTCAGTCCACTACCTCCTCCTATCGCTCTCCTCCTTACGAAATAATATCGAATTCATCATCTCTCTCTCTCTCTCTCTCTCTCTCTCTCTCTCTCTTTCTTTTTTTCCTTTCGATTTCACTTTCACTTTTTACTTTCTTATCATCATCAAGCCGTCACACCTTAATTGCGATACTAAGTCCATCTTAATAACCGTTAAGCGGAGGCTTCAAACTGACCCGAAGTCGATATCAGTCCAGTAAATGTATTATCCCTTATACTTTGACCTTGCTACCGAAACTTTTGTTACTAATTGTACTTTAATTGTGTGTGTTTATTATTACAATATTTAGACAAATGAAATCACAATTAGATGACAGATTAAAAAGTAATCATATCGAGAAACAATCAAGTAACAACCGTTAATCTGTAGCAATTATTTACAGTGTTAATTTAGTTGTTACAGTTTACACGAGATGACAATTAGATTTGATTACAGTGTTGATAATTTCCTCATCTAATTGTGGGAGGGAAAAATTTTACATTCGATGATTAAAAAAGTTCTGAAAAACTTTTCAATTGTACAGTTAATTTAATTGTAGACTAATTGTAATGGTGATTTGTTAATTTTTTCACTCTAAATTTTGACAACAATCAATTAATGTACAATATTGCAAATTAACTGTAATTAATTTTAACCTTGAATAATTAGAAACTTTTGTCCTCTATTAAAAATGATTTACCTTGATTGTAAGAGCCAATCAATTTAAATTAATTGTATATTAATATTGATATTGGTTCTTGATTATCTTAATCATTTTTAACCCGATTGTTTAACTTTTTTTCCCCTCCGACAATCAGTTACCTTTGATTATCATTAATCAACTGGATTAATTAAGATGATGATAATAATCAATACCAATGGATCCAGGCTATAATCGTGATTGTAACCCTCAAGGAGTAACAATTAACAACAACAATCAAAATTATTGGAAATGGATTAAGACAAAAAAAAGTAAATAAATTAAAATTTATTGATTAATTTTAATTGTGACCAAAAAAATTGATTGTAATTAAAAAATGAGATTGATTTTCCCAGCAAATGAATTGGAGATTAAAAAAACAAATCGATAATAATAATTAACAAACTTACCGATAATTAAGGGTAACAATTAGTTGATTGCTATATTTGATTATTAATTGATTTGTTGATATTAAATTGTGTTTTTTTCCCGATACAAAGTGACCCAAGGTAAGATTAATAATCATAATAATTACATATTAAAATATATCATCGACAACAATCACAATTAAATATCAAACAATTAACAATCAATTGAGACAATTTTTTTTTCCTTCTCAATAACAACTTAATGGTCAGTATTAAATTATTATCATTATCAATTGATTGTAAATCATTGATTGTACTCTGTAATTAGCTGATTTGCCCTCACGATTATCATAATAATATTTAACTGTAACAACAACAACAACAATTAGCTAATTTCAAATATTAACCATGACCTTTTTTATTTATATGTTTGGTACAATCAGATTAATAAAATTTCTTGACCAGTGATGATTATGAATGACTCGCCCATCCACTGACCTTTACCGTAAGCGGATGGCGATTAGTTGACCTTTAACTATCCTTACATATTGAGGTCAAGCCTTGAGGGGGTTAATCTCTCTACCTGGTCAGACAGATTAGATTAACATAGAGGATGATTTAGGAAATAGAAATTGAAATGGAAAAGTTTCAAACAATCGCCAATCTAAATGGGAAGTTGACCAGTTCCGTTAATTAGGCAATAACTTAATCACTAACCACTAATCATCAAGATAATCGAATTAATTTTCCTTCATCATCTTCCTTTTACTTTCTTTCTCATCATCACGTTCACCTAATTATAATTATTATCATCTTCATTAATTCATCATCATCATTGATGATAAAAATTTTCCGCCAACTGACCAGTCCAATTAATACAAGAAGAGAGCAAAAAATTAATTCAAAAACTGATCATGATGTTGATCTTAAATCATTCAGCTGAGTTAATTTGGTTCTTCCATTTTTTTTTGGTTAAATATTGAAAAGTTTACATTCACATTTAAGGCCAAAAGCTTCAGGCCCAACAGTTAATTGTAATAACAACAATTAAGAAACACGATCAAGCTGAAAACAAAGTTAAGGTGCTAACGTGTTCATATTAATAATTGCGCCAGAAAAACAGCAAATTATTGTATTATTATTATTGGAAGATGATCATTTAATGGTTGATTGTTGATTCGATTAACCATCAAACTCACATGATAATTAAAATTTAATTTCGAACTTAAAATTTGATTTTTTTTTTCTGCTTCTCGTCATCAACATTATCATGATTGTCGTTGTTGTCATTCCAGTTGATGATCAGTTAAATTAATGAAGATGATCAACATGATTAACTTAAGGCTTAAGATGAAGATAAAGATGATGATGATGATGATGATGATCAGAATTAATCGTTTTCTTAATCAACTTGGATTCTCCTTGGATTAGAAAACTTTGTCTTCGAAATGTTTGTTTATCCAAACTTAAGTTGGACTTTTCAACAATCATATTAATATGTAATTGCGATTCTTGATCATCACCAATATCAGACAAGAATCAGGTTAAATACTGTGATCGTTAATTGTAACAATTTGAATTGATTAAGTTGATTACGAATCCATACTGTGTGTATGCTCATCATTTACTAATTTTTTTTTTGCTTCTTCTTCTTAATTAACGATTGGTGTTAATTTTTTTTCTTCTCTTAGCTTCCTAATCAAATTAATTTATTTCTCTAATTTTCCAATAAATCACTAAATCTAATTTACTTTTTCAATTATTGATCTTGATTTTAATTCTCAACTGATCAGTTGTTGATTGTTTCACTAATCACATTTTAACTTATCCTTTACTTTATTAGTGAAATTGATTTACTATTACAAATCAAATTGTGAATTGGTAATTTACTCATTTAACTTTGATTGATTGTGAATTATTACTATTTTTCTTGCTGATGATTAATTAATCAATTTCCTTTTCAATACTATACAATTAATGTATTAACTATTACTTGGGCTCTTTTCACAATTAATTATCACTGAAATCATTTGAATATCAGTTTATTGATAATCTGTAGGTGTCCTTGATTGTTGGTTGATTAAATTGCGATCAAAAGTTAAATGTTAATCACTTGCTTCCGCTTTTTTAAATACATTTATTGATCAATTGATTATCATCAATCATCAAATTGTAATTGTAATACTAGAATTACAATTAACCATAAATTCAATGAGAGCAATTAATTTCTTATATTGATCAACAATCAGTGTAACCACAGGGATGTTGATTGAATTTCAATCAATAAGTAAATTGTATCTCTCTGTTTGATTAATTAAATTGCCAAACTATTTAAATTGTGATCTGAATACTAATTAACAATTAACTTATATGAGAAATGAGAAATTTAATTCAATCATAATCAAATTAAATTTAATTTAAGGCAAACAAAACATGTTAACACTTTGTAGTCACTTAATTTACTTGATTAGAGTTGATTTTAATTTCATTTGCTTAACAATTTAAGTTGATTGTTCATTAATCAATGTCAACTAATTAAGCTCATACATGTATATGATTGTTAATTAACAATTAAATTATCTTAGAGCCAAATTATTGGGAAAAAAACAAAGAAAAACAAAAGTTCAATTGGCTGATTAACTAACAATTAACTTTGATTTGGATTAAATTTGTCTGCTAACAATTAACCTCATACAATAATTAAACTAAATATAAATGATCACAATCAATATAATGATAATTTAACCTTCCTCATAAACGATAATTAAGTTAATCAAATTTGAATACACTAACTATTACAATTAATGGTCACTAATTGTATTATCTAATCAATATTAGTTTAAATTGTTGCAATACAATATGATTAAATCTTGATTAGTATTTAACTTTAATTTTCCCGTGTGATTAATATTAAGATGAAAAAAAATTAATCTCTTGATTAACTTGAGAAAAGTGATCAGGTTAATCTCAACAATCAGTTAATCATAATGATACACAATTAAGGTAATAATAATATTATGGTTAATTTGATTGGAGTAACAATTTGTATTTGAAATTGTTGTTTTCTGTTAACATTTACAATTAACCTTTTCCTGTTGATTAACAATTTAATAATTGTAGTGATAACATAATAATGAATAACTAGACAATTAGCAACAATCAACATGATACAATCAAACTACAATTAAAAAGTTGTTAGTTTTGGCTTTAAATTGTTTGTCTTTCATTCATCAATCAGTTGATTACAATCAATGATATTTATCGTTGATTATAATCAACAAGATTGATTGTGATTAGTTAATGGCTATGATATTTATCAAGGTTTAATTGTTTAGGACATTGAGTGTTAGATTAGTTTTGTTTTCGTAATCATAATCAACAATTTATATCAAAAAATCAGTCCAATTATCCTTAAGGTTAATTAAAAATCATTTTTCTCTCTTACAATTAAGAAATTGCTTGAAAACTTGATCATCATCAATAAGAAATTAACAGTAAATTAAACAAACAATTTGTTAATAGTGTTTAACTTTTGCTTAATTTTTTTTTCTGGGTCGAAAGTTGAACAATTTTCACTTCTTAATTTGTTACTTAAATTGTAATTAATTAATTTTAATTATACACAATGTACACACCTTGATTACTAAGGATCAATAATAATAAATTACTTAGGCCTTGTTGATTTAATTAACTTGATTGTCTTAATTGTTTGCAATGAGGCCTTGATTGTAAACTGATTACTATTGGTTTCGTCTCTCAACCTTAATTGTGATTCTTAATTGTTTTATATTATCATTGATTGTCAAAAATAATCAATGCTCTTGATTTAATCTGATTGAAGGATTTTAATCAACTTTCTGGTAATTTTGTTGTTGTAAATTTATCATTAGTTAATTGTCTTACTATGTAACTGGATTAACGTATTGATTTAGGTTAAAATCTTAATCGAAACGGATTAACTAATTTGAAAACCTCTTCCTTGATTGTTGATTGATTTAAAATTAAATATCTCGAGACTACATTATCATTTCTAGGTTAAATTGTTACAATTTAAATGGTTTAATATTCAATTGTACTTGACATGGATTTTATTAATTGTCCAATTAATTGTTCACTTTAAATGTCATTTCAATTTGTTGAGAGCAGATTTTGATTTATATAATATTAACAGTAACTAGCAGTTGATTAGTTGATTAGTTGATTAGTTGAAAAGGGTTAATCAATTCAACTATCGGATTGTCACATATTAGTTAATTGTTGTTGATCGTCAATTGATTAGAAAGTTAAATTGTTTTTCAATAGTTTGTACTGATTAATTTATTTTCCTTATAAAGATTAAATCTTCACCTATTGTTATTAATTGGTGGCGATTGAAAGTTAATCACTAATCATTAAATTCAATTGTATCGATAAAATGTCAATTAATCCAATTGAGAGATTTTAATTGTTCACCAATATTAAGAATTAAGAATATTATTATTAATGTTGTTATTATTGTCACTCGAACAAAAAAAAGTCCAATTTAATTGTGAGATAATAAATTAAATTGAAAAAGTTTTAATTTCGATTGCAATTAAAATGAATAATATCATTTATCGAGAGTTTTTAATAAGCTTGTTAACTTGATTTACTTTCATTTGAATTGGAATTTTTTTTTTGTTAACTTAATTACAATTTGATGACAATTAATGATAACCGATTGTATTAATTGATCACTATCTTAATCCGGTTTAATGTTACAATAACAAAAGGTTTTTAATTTTTTGACTAAATTATCAAGATGAAAATTTGATTAATCAAAATGAAGATCATCAGAAAATCAAAGCCCAATCAACAGTAAACATACTGATTAAATCAAGCAAACTCAATTTCGAAACCATCGACTAATTGTAAAAGTTGACCAATCAACAAGCCAAATTGAAAATGACTAATTAACCTGAACAATTAACTACAAAATCGACAATTAAGGAAATGGAAACGTAATGACAACACCCCGAGTCTACTGCGCATGCGCAGAAACACCCATTGAAATTCTGTCAATTTTTTGTCTATGTTTCTTGATGATTAATTTCATTCTCAATTTTAATTAATTAAAATCTCTGATTGTTGACCTAAGGTGTTTTATTACAATTGATTTCATTTGGGATCTCTGGTGAGTAAATAGTATGATGATTTCTTTTGATTGACTTTGATTTTCCTCTTTCTCTGTGAATGTGTTTGTGTCTCTGAATCTTTGGTTCCTTTTTCTCATTGTTTTTGTAGATTTTTTTTTCTCTTCACTAATTAATTTTCTTTGTTTTGATTCATTTTCTTTCATATTTTTCTTTGATATTGTTTAGATTCTATATACTGTCATCTCTATCTCACCTCAAGTTGATCATCTTCATTCCTGTTTGCTGTTTGGTGGTGGTAAAAGTATTAGCTCAACATGTCTAATAAAAACAATGTTTCCTCTGGTTTCCGAAAGATTGACATTGATTCCTACAATGATGATGTGTTTAAGGATGACGATCAAATTTTGTCACAATCATCAGCAACCTCATTAGATGATAAAGAGATTTTACAATTATGTTCTTCTGGTAAACATTATGAAGCAATTAGATCGATATTTGATCTTCAACCGCAAACCTCTGGTGATCCATTGACCAAGGATTTGGCCTTCAATTTGATTATGCAAGTTTTTCTTGCAGTTAAAACGGGAGACATTGATAAGATTGTCGATAAACTTGACACTGATCAGATTGATCTTCTCATGAAATATGTTTACAAAGGATTTGAAAATCCTCAAGAAGGATCATCATCTAATCTACTTGTTTGGCATGATAAAATTTTCCGTAAAAGTGGCCATGGTTCAATCGTCAGGGTGTTAACGGATAAAAAGAAAGTTTAAATTGTGATTAACGTTACAATTAGGAGACTTTCTCATCTTCCATTTTTTTTAATTATTCGTATTCAAATCACCAATCATTGGAATATCAGTTTTTCTTTATAACAATTATTACAACCGTTAATACACTTCCAGTGATCTATTCATTTTCTTCATTGGTAACAATTTACTAATTGTTGGGAAAGGGAATTGGGAAAGTTAAGTTAATGCAAGAAATGAATAATTTTTTTTTTGATTATCATGTTCAAAGCCAATTACTCAGTTTGAACAATCATTTTCGTAATTGTTTTCCCTCGTAATCATTTTTTTACATCTCTCTCTTTCTCCTAAATCAAAAGTCTATCTAATTGTTGAAATATTTACATAATATTCTAATAAACGAAAAGGTCTACAAATGATTAACAATTAGTGACTTTGAATCATGAAATCGATTCCACATCAATGATTAACCTTAAATGGTTCATCTGATTGTCGATTAACTTGTTAATCTGGTTTCACTTTCATTTGGAATCAAAAGTGAACGGAAACTTATCAATGGGAAGAATAAATTATCAGAACAATCAAGGTTTTTATGGATTAAAATTGGACCATAATCCAATTTAATTGCTGTAGCAATTAAGGGCAAGAGAGAATAGAAATTATTTTCTCAATTTTTTGCTTCTCTTTCCTCAAGTTGGGATAATGTTTTTTGTTTCTTTTTTACATAAATACAAAGAATATTGGAATGAAATTCTCAGTAATGATTCTCAAGAAAAGAAACATAATCAGTAAGTTTTTCCAATTGTTCTTGATTAGATGAGAAACTATTCTCTTCATCAATGGTAACATTTTTATCGATGGTAAATCCGAAAGGAACATCAGTCTTCCAACCAACCGATTGGCCCAATTTGATCATCTCTTCTTGAGAAGAACAACCAGTAGTTTTAATCACATCTTCCAAACTGATCTTCGTATAACCTTTGCCAATCAACTGAATTAATCTCGATTGATGATCTTTTCTTAATTGTTCCATGATTGGAGACACATGAATTGGCCATGTTTGTCCATCTATTTTACCATAAACACCAGCGAAATCATTGGTCATCAAACATTTACCAACTTCCCAGATTAACTTTAAACAATCAGATTTCTCCTTAATTGTGACCGGTATCCTTTTCCATAAAAATTTGGCATTAATTAAATCATTTTGTGCCAAATAAATAACAAGTAATTTCTCATAATCAGCTGATTCAATTTCTTTCATTTCCAATTCTTTCTGTTCCAATTGTTCCATCTCACTTTCAAGGTTAACAGTAAATGTCATCGAAATATCAGCCATTCTAATTGATCGCAAAGTAACAATTTATGAAACAACAACTTGGAATTTAATTAAAACACAAAATTAAAGGTAAACAATTAAAGAGAATCAAACAATTTATTTTCTCTCAAATTCAAAACATGAGTTTAATTAGAATTCGATTGAAGCGCCGCCAGGCGATCACCAGGGTAACTATTTATTCTCAGCTGATTGAGTTTCAAGTTTGTTTATCTTTTTTGCTCATGGTGATTGTTTCAATTTCTCGGTGAATTTTTCTAAATTTTTTACTCTTTGTACATTCAGTTGATTGTAAACAGTTGAATTATCCCTCACCATGGCTTGTAAGGTTGGTCGTTTGGTCAGTAAAGATACTGCTCTGTTTATCTGTGATATTCAAGAAAAGTTCCGAAACATGATTCAATTTTTCCCTGGAATTGTTGAGGTTTCATCTCGACTATTAAAAGCTGCTAAAATATTAGATTTACCTGTCGTTGTGACTGAACAATATCCTAAAGGTAATTTGTGTGAATTTTACCTTTTCATCGGCTGTTGATTAGAGAAACAAAAATAAACTAAAATTCAATGATTGTTTTTCTTACCTCGATGAACAATTGCTTGGTATTAATTTGGTATCATAATTAATGCTTTTTTTTATTATTTTGCCTCTTAGGTTTGGGAAACACTGTCTCGGAAATTGGTCTAGCTGATTATCCGGATATCAGGCCAATCACTAAAACTCAATTTTCCATGATGGTTCCTGAAGTTGTTGATTTGCTAACCAAACAGCATTCAAATGTTAAATCTGTTATTCTTGTTGGTATTGAGGCTCATGTTTGTGTTCAAGGAACTTGTCTTAATCTTTTGGAGAAAGGATTAGGTAAGGATTAGATATTAACGATAATTGAGATTAAATGTAAAAGGCTAATTATTGGTTTTTCTTTTGTTAACCATAGATGTTCATGTCGTTGTTGATGGAGTTTCTTCAAGATCAAATGTTGATCGGATGTTTGCCTTGGACCGAATGAAATCAGCTGGAGCTTGGCTGACCACCAGTGAATCAGCAATTCTAGGACTTGTCGGTGATGCATCTCACCCAAATTTCAAACAATGTCAGAAATTAATCCTTAATCAACCACCAGACACTGGATTAAGTAGTTTGTTCTCATCGAGAGTTTAAAGTTACAAGTCACAAATTTGACATCTCATCAATTGATGTCAATTAAACTTGGAAAACAAATCAAATCATCCAGATTGCCATTCAATAGAAACAAGAAAACTATTTCTCCATCTTAATTGTTATCTAATCAAGAATTTAAGTATATTTGTAATTGTTTACACTGTTTTACAGAAAAACAATTACAACTTTTGTTAATTATTATCTGTAGTTTAAAATTAATGGGGTTTAAATTTTTGTTATAATTAGTTATATTTTATCAAATAAAAAGGTCAACTCTCTTTGATTGTTTGATTGTTTATAATCATTAGATTAACCATTTAGCAACAGAAGACTTTATCTTTCAAATAAAAGGATTCTAAGATCTACTGGGAGTGAAATTTGTTCAATCAACATTTCCATTGTAGATTTGTTTTTGATTCAGATCTCCAGCTCATTCTCAACATAACAAGGAGACTCGAGAAATTAGAAACAAACTTAGCTGATTTTCAAAAGTTTGAAGACTCGTTCATGAAAATTTAAGTTATTGGAAGACTAATTAGCACGAAATGGAGTCAATTGTTACCATCAGTAGATCAATTAACGGTAAATTGCAAGGCGAAAATCTCGAATTGAAATGACAGAAATGATGAAGACTAAGAGATGTCGCCACGCACTAAAAAATCGAGTTAGAAAATTTGTTTTCGAAACAATCAACATGCACTTAATCGTATTCTTAATTAGCCAACGATTGATCAACTTATTAGCAATTAAGATCTTGAATTCTAAATTGTGAATCTCATCAATAAACTGAAGAAAATTGTGTTTCCTTCCAACAATCAATGGAGTTTCTCTCTCTATGCGCAGTTCAATTTTCTTCTTGTTTCATCTTTACTGTTTTCACCTCGAATTCTTGGATTGATCAATCGAAGTGAATTTCAATTTTCTTTTTTCTCTCTCAGAGGATGTGGAAAAGATGAGGAACAGTATCAGTGATGCTTAGAAAGTGACACAGGGAGAGGTAAAAGATGTAACATAAATGCTTTGATAGATTTTGATTTGTTTTGTCTGCACTCACCTTTTCCTATTCGATTAGCCTTTTAACCTTAACCTTTTCATTTTTCTATGTTTTTATTTCACTTTCACCTTTTAATTTACTAATTTCACCTAAACCATCATCTTCCAGTCCATTAATTGCTACCAACACCAAGAATATGTGAACATCTTTCTCGAGATTTTTTTTGTTTACCTTTGGAAATGATTGTTCTCCATAATTTAATTTAATTTCTGTGCTTCAAATTGATTCCAATCTGAATCATTTCAATTCTCAATTTCTCTCGATGCTCCAATTCAGTGTCTGTAATCTTCGGGTTACCTTAACTTTCCCAACCATGTAACCCACCAAATAACCCGAACCTTTAACCAGAAATGGTAACCAAGTCTTTCCAATAATTATTACATTCTCATCGATGTAACAATTAACTAATTAACAACCATCTTTGGTGCCTTTATGAACAAAACATAACAAATATAATCAACTCATTACCCAAAAGTCTTCCAAACAAATTTCAAGCTAAATTACTCGACAAATCATCAAGTCTTCCAATCGTAATTTACATAATTACTTTACTTTCACCTTCTCGATGAAAGTATTGTTCACCATTTAATCTAATTAATCTAATAGATTAGCAACATAAGTCTTTCAAATTTCGTATAATTATTACATATCAAGTCTTCCAATTTCGAAAAAATCAAATAATTATATTAATAGTAACTCTTTTCGCTATCGAAATCATCATGTGTTCTCAAGCCTGTCTTCAGGAGATGGAAAAATTCTGGAAAGATTCAATTCGATCCTTGTTAATTGCTGCATTATCTGCACAATCTCATGGTAATTGTTCATCTTTTGATAGCGACAATCGGCCACAATCAACATCTCAACATGTAATATCATCACCGACATCATCATCCCTGTCATCCGCTGGTTGCAATTGTATGGTCAAAGGTCCAGTTCAAAGTGAATCACCAGTGGTCACTGGTGATTCGCCCTCACCTTTAGCAATTAATTCACCTTCTCCAACAATTAACTTGCCAACTTCATCTTCTTTATCTCCTGTAGTTGAAATGACAGCTTCACTTCTTAGTGATATTATTTCAAATCTTTCAATGGTCAAATCGAATCAACAACAAAAACAACAACAACAACAATTAAATCAACCAAAACCAACGACGACAATTAAAGTTAAAAGGAAACGTAGACGAAAAAGATGTTCACTCGCTCAGCGTCAACAGCGTTTCCTTCAACAAAGTATCTGGGGTTCCACTGATGATGGTCAACTTAGAGTTCAAAGTGTCCTCAGGTAAAGTCGCTTTAAGAAAATCTCTCGAAATTCCCCAAAATCAACCAATCAATTTCTAAATCACTCGATTTACATTTCTCAATGAAATCAACATGAAATTAGCCAAATAAAATGTCATATCAATTTTTCATTCACGATAATCAATAGACCTTTTTGTTAGTTCTCTTCACGCAATCGCTTTATTCCCACCTTGGCCCACCATCTCCTCTCTTTAGTTTTCCACTCTCCATCTTCCCTCCCTCTCTCTCTTTCACTCTCTCATTATAAAACATTCTCTTTCTCTCCCTTCCCTGTCTTTCATTTTCTCTTTCGATCTTTTTTTGTCTATGTTTAGACTTCGATCGATGGGATAACATTCTCATGTTTCCTTACCAACACCATTTTCTCCAAAACCATTGACCATCAAACAAGAATTAAAAATAAATCATCAGGTTTCCTTTTTTATTAATCTAACAATTCCCTTAATCAGTTGACCAAAGTACAATTTAAACTGTGATCTCGGAGTGAAATTCTGAAAGTTCAATGGAACAAAACTTCCACATCATTTACATGTAAAGAAAAAGATAAACAGTGAACCTTTTCCTCGATTATGTTTTCTACTCGAAATCTATGTTTCCAAATGAATTTCTTTGTGTATCTTTATGGTTCCTTCTAGTTGACCAAATTTTAACAATCACATGTACGAATAACTAAATTATCCAAGAGGCATTATGATCCATTTATATGAGAATATCTTATTTCTCTATCAGATTTCATTCATTATTCATGATTTAATCTGATTCTTTATTTTTCTCTCCTTCTTTTATCCCTTATTACCTTTACAGTGTCAAGGAAACTCATGAAATGTCTCAAGAAAATCAAGGGAATAACAGCAATTTAAATAACAATTTACTCAACAATCAATGTTCAATTGGAATCAGTTATCTGAATAGTGATTCAAATGCTCATGGTACCATGAAAATTTCTGATTGTATCACCGAGATTCAATTACCTCAACAACCACAATCATCATCAATCGATGATACCAACATTAGTGCTAATATAAATTCTGACAATGGCAATAATGATAATGGAAAGGAAATCAAATCAAGTGCAAAATTTAAAGATGAAAATTATCACAATTCGGGATCAAAATTAACCACTAAAAGGAGATTCTCATCTGATGATGAGTGTAACCATCATCAGGGTGATGAAAATGAACAAAAAGAAGATAAAAATGATAGAAAATTGAGAAAAGATAGTAAACTTAATCACAATAGAGTAAAATCTAGTCCATTGAAAAGTTTTAAATCACATTTAAAGTCCAGTAGTGAATTACAATCAACTCTATTTAAATCATCGTCTTCCTCTAGTCTTGATCATTCAAGTAGTTTTTTAGATGAGGAAAAATATAATCACCCAAATGAGGTTAGTTCATAACAATCAATTAAGCGAAGCATATTAATCATAATGACCTTTCGCTGATTTATTGCTTTATATTTACCATAGAGATGCAAAAGTGATGGTCACTCTGGACAATCAGATGTGAAAGAATCCAAAACGATGATAATTGTAACCAGTCTATTGATGGTACAAAAAGGATCATAAGTAAATCACTCGAGGGTGAGACTAAATCGACGAAAAGATCATCGAAAAGATCTCCAAGTTCTGATAATCATGAAGCTTCAATTGATGACAATTCATCTGAAAGTGATCATGAGGATCATCGAGAAAGAGATAAATCTAATGGTAATTACTTTAGAATTGACTTTTCTTTGTCACATTTCGAGTGTTAATTTGTTTATGTCTTTTTCTCTGGTTAGATGGTCGAAGAAAACGGAGTCGTTCTAGAACTTCTCAAAGTTCTAGGTCACTTAGTAAAAGTCGAAAAGATCGAAGATACAATGGACGAAGTGATGAGAAAGATCGATATCGAGGTAGAAATGGTCGGAGTAGAAGCAGAGATCGAACTCGTGAAAGAAGTCGAAGTTATAGTAGAAATCGTAGTAAAAGTCGAAGTGGCCACTACAGTAAGAGTAGAGATGGGTCACAAAGTAGTCGAAAATATCGTAAAAGTTCAAGTTCATATCGATCTCGTAGTTATCATGATAGAAATAAGAACAAGGAAAGAATAAAAGAAAAGATGAACTCTCGAAGTAGAAGTCGAAGTAAAAGTGTCAACGAGAGAAACGATCTTTGTCAGAACGATGCTAAATCTTCAAACGGACGATCTCATCATCGAACTTACAAAAGTTCAAAGTAAGTCCACTCAACATATTCGAAAAACAATCAGTTCGAAAAAATTTCTAATCCATTTCTTACTTATTCTCCCTTTCCTCAGAAATCATCGACATCGACCGACCTCAAGTCGATCTTCGTCAATCTACTCGTCACCATCTAACTCCTCATCGGCCTCATCTTCATCGAAATCTTCCAGATCATCTTCATCTTCGTCATCTTCTCGCTTTAATCTAATGTCACGAAGTTCGCGAGGCTCGAAGTCCCGATCTAAATCCCGAAGTCCATCAATTCGACGTCGCGGTGGTTCACCCAATTTCCTCGAGCGACGTCGTATCACAAGGTATGTTCTGATCAATCGAATATGTTCAATATCGAAAATCTTATTAACCAATCGAATTAATTTCTTCTCTCAATCAACTTAAATTGATTTTCTTTTATTTTCTTTACCAATTCATAGAATATAATTTGATTTGATTTACTTTTCTATTTTCTATTATTATTTTTGGTAAGAATTTTATTTTTTAATTGTTATCACTAAAATCAAATTTACTAATCAATAATTGACACTCTTCTAAATTGCTAACTTAATTTACTTATCTTCTCATCTCATGCTTACTGTTGAACTTCAAATTAAATCAGTTTGGACATTTAAATGAACAATTTAAAACAAAAAGGTGCAGATTTAAGTGAAAATATAATGTTAATTGTCCCAATTAAGTCTTAACATCAATTTCCAATGTTTAATTGTTTTCTTCCTTTTCCCCAATTGAATGGATGCAAGTTAATTGCTCATTGATTTTTCTATTAATCAGTTGATTTTCATTTTCTTTCTCTGTATTATCTTTTTAGCGCTCGAAAAAGGCCAACACCTTATCATCGGGAATCTCCATCTTCGGACAGTTCAACTTCCTCATCATCTACAATTAAACGGAGACGAACTCACTCAAGATCTTGTTCATCATCTTCTTCCTCTTCCTCATCTTCATCCTCATCCCCATGTTATTATTACATAAGAAAATCTCGTTCACCTTCAATCTAGTCGCACAATTAACTCTATTTTATTACTTAATTGCATTTAATTTAAACCATTCCAATTGTATTATGATTGCAATTTTTGTTTCTCTTCAAGTTAATTTTATGTTCATCCCTTAAATTATGTGCAAAGAAATATCAACAATCAAGATGAATGTAACAATTATCAATATCCCCACAAAACAAAATAAACCTTCACAATCAACTTAATTGTGTGTCATTTTTTTTTTCATCGCTTTAAAAATGTTTTGATTGACAATTGATCAGCTGGAAGCAATTCAGTAATCCAAATTGATTAACATGGAAGACGAGGAAGACAATTATTCAAAGTATGTTGATATTTAAAGTTAATCCATTTCTCCTTGTTTCGAATAGTTAATTTTCTCTTCAATGTTTCAGGTTTGATGAAGATGAAGATGATGAGGGAAACCACCGAAGGAGGAGAAGACAACGACCAGTGGAGGTGACCAAAAAACCATCGAAAGAAGAATTACAATTAGTTAATTTTCTTGAGCAATTAAATCGAAAATTATCAATTGTAACTGATAAACAGAAAGAAGCTCGAGAGAAAGAAGATCAACCAGGTAAAAGCCTCGGAATAGAATATGACATCTTAGTTTCTCTTGATTAATCGTATTCTAATTCGTGAAATGTTTCATCGAATGATAATTTTCTGAATCTACAGTGAAACAGAAATCCAATGATCTATTGCAACTGATAAGTGATGTGATTCTTAACCCAAAGTCCAAAGATAATCATGATTTGGAATCAGTTAAACCAAGAAGATCGAAAAGTTTACCAAAAGTGAGAAGATCCAACAGTTTAACTCGACTTGAAGCAATAGATAATTCAACCCAATTACAGCCGAGAAAATCCAAAAGCTTGACCAGAATGCAAGCAAGAAAATCGTCAAGTTTAACCAGAATTAAAGCGAAAAAATCAAAGAGTTTAACCAAATTGGGACCAAAGAGGGTCAACAGTTTGACCAGATTAGAGCCCAGAAAATCCGATAGTTTAAAGGAACTACAAGCCGACATATCGAAGATTACAAAGATGATTGAAGATTTTGATCAAGAGGTTCCATTGAGACGTAGAAATTTTTTCAGAAGGATGAGAGATAGAAAAAGAAAATCCAATTGGTGTTATCGGAACAGTTTCTTCATCATTGGATTTACCATAATTATGAGTATAATTGTTTGGGGAGTTTACTCAATCATCCAGGATGGAATTGCCAGACAAAAGTGTCGAAATAGAAATGACACCAAATTCTGCTTTTAGATGGACACAATTCAACACCTCCAACCATAAATTACAAATTCCAATTTCAAATTGTACAAAATTAAATAATCATTTAGCTTAGAGAACTGAAAAAAAAACAAAACAATTGGAAATCATTTCCAATCAACAGAGTCAACACTTCATTTTAAATGATTCTCATGAAACTACCAAACCACCATGAACACAGTAACTGTAGACAAGAAGAAGAGATGAAAAAGTTTTAGAAAAAGAGAGAAAAAACAATTAATTAATACAAATGGAGTTAATTTCAATTCGATAATTAAAATGAAAACAAAGAGAATTTAAATTTTCAATTCTATTCTTTTGGCGGTTAAAGTCGTGGATTCGAATCCATGTATCGGATCCTTTTCGATATTTTCTTTTCTTTTTCAACTTTTCTCTTTTAAATTTGTGCTTCTAAAAGTTTCATTAAATTCATTGTTTCGGTTTATCGGTTCAGTTAATTTTCATCATCTGTGATTTATTTCTATCTTTTAATCAATGTTTAACTGTTACACTTGTGTTGACACTTGACGGAAAACCAAAGTGACCTATTAACTGTCCTTATAAATATAATTTGTTGTTTGATCATCCAACTAGTATGATCTTAGTTGTTAACCCTCTTGGTTTTTGGTCATTTTATTTTTCTATCCTTTTGTTTTTTATATAAAACAACTAAAAATTTGATTGATGATGAAGCTTGATTTGGATAAACCATTTTTTGATAATCTAAAGGAAGGTGTTGATTATATAGAAACAACTGTTCGATCATTGAAACAAGAATCAGAGAATGGATTTCCATCTTTAAATGAACCGTTAAGTGACCAAGAGATTGTTAGAATAAACCAATTTGATGATTCGGTTAAAGAAACGTTTGCTGATGTGTCTACCCTATTTAATCTATTGATGAAACATCCTTTCAATTTGGATGATTTAGATAAAAACATTGAACAATTGAAAAACAAGCTGATTCAATATGAAAATAATTCTGGTTTCAAAGAATTTGGTTACAAACCTTTTGTTTATACTACACCCGATAAAAAGAAACCCTCACCTTCACCAGTGGTTAATGGTAATAGTAATGGTGATAATCAAGATGAAACAATTAAGCCAACCCTTGCCAATTTATTAAAAGACAAAGAGGTTGATAAATCTAAATTGTTAAGGTCAACTTTTAAAGGTAATTTCATTTTTTATTCATGTTCTTTTTTGATTCTTTGGTTACCATTTTTTTCTGTAGGTTTTTTGTTTCTTTCTTCTTTCTTGTAATGATTATTATTCTAATGAGATTTTTATGTTTTCTTTCTTGCTCTTTTAGTTACTGGCCGTAAAAATATTGATAATAAACGGAAAAGTATCATTGAAGCAGCTAAAATCCCGACCGCCCACATGAATTTACCATCAAATGTGTCATCTCATGATGGGAAAAGATATCCAGTGATGCCTTCTTCATTTCTTGCCTCACCTAACGATAAAGACGATTCTCAAGATGGTGTTTCTATTAAATATATTACTGGTTGTAAATTATCATCAACAGGAATTGGAGATTCAACAAACAATAGCTTCACAAATAATAGTAGTATGACCGATTCAACAATTTCAAATAATAAGTATGATGCTTCTGAGGTTTTAGTTGAATTTACTCCTGGTTTAATGACAACTCGACCTAAGGTTAAATCAAGACTTAATGGAGCCAATTTAAGGCCACCATTAGATTATCGACCTGGAAAATTTGGCAATTTACGTAGTAGTAGTGAAGATTCAAGAAGTGATTCAAATACAACACCAAACAATCATAATAATAGAACTTTCTTGAAAAAAGCTCGAACTCCTGAATCTCCTGGTTTCCCCTGGTCTGCTGCAGCAAATAAAATCAAAAATAGTAACAACACCTACCGAATTAGTCCCGAACCTAGGGCAAACCTACGTTCTTTCGAGAAATTAACGCCAGAAGAGCCTAAATCACCTTCAGAAATTATAGCAATTAAAAAACCGATAACAGGAACACCCGAGATGCCTTCATGTAATATTGATACAGCTTTACACCAACGATTACTTGCTAAAGCCAAAACTCTACGTGATAATGTATTTTAGTAGAAACACAAAAAAAAACATTATTTTAATTACCACCAACTCCATGAGATTTTATCTTCCATCATCATCATCATCATCATCATCATCATGCATCCTCTTCATATCTACAAAAACAAGAAAAACAAATTGAATGAGAATTTAAATTTTCATCACCAAAGATTTATATTATTTCAAACTACAATCTCTTGTATCTCTCTCTCACTCACTCTCTCTTTCTCTGTCTCTCTCTTATATTACCCTTGAGATTATGAAAACTGATCCATTGTTCATAAATTCATACAATTTACCAATCATTTTTAATGATAATTAAATGTTGAAAATTGTTAAAATCTAAATTTACTTCTAATTTTAATTTTCACAATCACATAGAAACTAAATTTTCAATATCAGTAAAAAGAAACTTACAAAACAACATGATTTTTTTCCAATCGTATCTTTACAAATGAAAAAAATTCCAAGAAAATTAAACTGTTAATTATATTACAAAGAAAAACTAATCAACAATTTAGAAAGAAATTATTTTTTCTTAAAATTAAAATTCATTCAAATTTCTAAAGTTAAATTTCGCGCAAAATTTTTCTTCTTCAGAGATCATCAGGTGTCGCTCTTTCCGGTCCGGAAAGCGGAAACAGTTTACTTTTTGATGCTGTTGAATTTATTTAGAGATTGTTTTTTTGGTGTTTTGATTAATTTAATTTAATTTAACAAAATGGTGAGTTAATTAATTTAATTATCTAAAAGATGATTAGCCAGTGTTGGATCGTCTAAATGTGTTGGTCGGTTTCTAATTGTTTCCCTTTTCCTTTTCTTTTTAGTCTCTTATTATTCCTGCTAAGTTTCAACACATTTTGCGTATCATGAATACCAATATTGATGGTCGGCGAAAGGTTATGTTTGCCTTAACCTCAATCAAGGGTGTTGGTAGACGATTCTCTAACATTGTCTGTAAAAAGGCTGATGTTGACCTTAACAAACGTGCTGGTGAACTTTCAGAAGAAGAGGTAAGTTAATGGTGTTTTTAGTCTTTGTTTTATGGCTTATGGTTTAGCCTTTTGATTTCATTCATTTTCTTTTCTTTTGCTCTTTATTTAGGTTGAGAAGTTAGTTACCATCATGTCTAACCCTAGACAATACAAGATTCCACAATGGTTCTTGAATAGGCAAAGAGATATTAAGGATGGTAAATTCAGTCAAGTAACATCTAACTCTTTGGAAACTAAGATTCGTGACGATTTGGAAAGATTGAAGAAGATCAAGGCTCACAGAGGTCTTCGTCATTACTGGGGGTTAGTATTCTTTTATTTTCTCCCTTAAATACTTATTGTCATCTCTATTGTTTATTTTTCAATTGACTAATTACAATTTGTTTTTGTTTATTTTCAATCCTTTAGTCTGAGAGTTCGTGGTCAACATACCAAAACTACTGGTAGAAGAGGACGAACCGTTGGTGTATCTAAAAAGAAGGGTTAACCTTACACACTTATACATTTATTATTTCTGTGTACTTGATTAAACATGATTTAATCACGATAATATGAATTTATATATTCTACTTTATTGATCGCGTTCGGTGAAATTTCTCTAAATGGTTGTGTAACCAATCAAGTCCAACTCATTCGGATAAATGATCATCTCCAACATTTGAGAATCAGAAAGCTTTTGGTAGTCTTTAAATTTTCTTATTCTTTTCATTCAAATCATCTTTAAATTATTCTAATCAATTTCTAATTTCAATTGTTTACTTGAACAATTTTCGCGATTTCAATCAACTGGAGATTTTCGCTTTTTTTCATGAGAAAGTTTTTCTTTTAAAGTAATATACAAAATTAATGAGCCGCTTTTATAGTAACAATTATTCATCGTCCAGATCATCAATGTCTAAATCTTCAACATCTTGGAACAAAGATTCATCAACATCGACCGAAGATGCAACTGCCGCTTCCCCACCTTCTTCCTCCAAGAATTTAAGATCAGATTCAATTAGACTCTTATCCTTTTCGAAAAGCTCTCGACCGGTCAACTTTTTGTTCGATCCTTCAACTTTGGCCTTTGTCTTCTCCAACGAGGCCATTTCAATGTCAAATTCTCGTTTCCAGGCGAGAAAAGATTCAACTGTCACTTTGGTTCCTTCAAATCTTCTCATCTCTTCAGCTTCCGCTTCTAATTTTTTTCTTTCCGCTTCTTCGAGTCTTCTTTTCGTCAATGAATCACATCGTTGTTGTAACCATTCATTAGCAGCCGAAACCAAGGTGAACACCATGACCATTCCCAAATTGTTGGAAACTTCGGCTTGTAACATGTCTAAAAGTTCATCTTTATCCTGCTCTTCAAAGCTTCCACCAAATTCATCAACCTCGATACTCGGTCCTTCTTCTGGATAATTGTCATTAAATTCGAAAATTAGTTTAACTTGATCTGTATAAAAATGTTCCACAAGAAAAAGATGACAATTAGTCTTCCACTATTTCCCATCGGCGTGACCAAAGAAATAGAAAGGACAAAAATGACAGAGAATCGTAATATTGAAACGGAGAGCATGCGAAAAATTCATGGAAATGATGAACAATATTCTCTTAGAATTTTCTCATTAAACCAGAAACAATCAAAGAATTAGAATATAATTTCTAGAGAAACAAGCGAATGATAAACAATCAAATCAGTCTCTTCAAACCAAAAGTTCTCATGAGAGTTTCAACTTGAAGATTCAACGAATAGACAAAACATTGAAAATGGATGCAACAACCACGACAATTAGTGAATATTATTAAATCACCAACAATTAAATCAAAGAAATGAGATTGAAAATGAAAAGAAAACATGTAAACTCCAATACTCACATTCTTCATGATCCTCTGATTCAACATCGATAGAAATACTGAATTTAATTGGAGGCTCACTGGAAATTACTAATGATCGACAATTGATATTCACCAAATGTACATAAGAACAAGAAGAATTTAAATTATTAACAATTAAAAAACAAAATGACCAACCAGATTAAAAGAAATCAATTAAAGTTGATTGTCTTCGTGGCTTCAATTCAACCATTTAACTTACCTTCTAATTCATTTGGATAAATTGCTTCCAATGCTTGAAGCTCATCAATTTGATCATCACGATAGCTCATGTTAGATGATAATTAAATTAAACAATAGAATTCAGTAATTATAAGATAAACAATAAATTAACAAAAAGAAAAACTCAAATCTAATTAACAAAATAAACAAGAATTTTTTTTTTCCCAATCAAACATAAGTAACACGTGAGTAGCTGATCAGCTGATTGGCGTTCAAATGATTTAAGCGCGATCATAATTGTAATTATGAAATGATTAGTAAATTAATTTGATTGTATCGATGATTAACTGGCAATTAGATTGTTTTATTAGATTCAAATGGTTTGGAAATGATTAAAAAACCAACTCGCAATTGATTATTGATCTTTGATGATTTTCTCTTAACTTAAATTGTCAACATAATCGATGATTAATTGTAATCAATTGATGATTGAATTAATTTGGACACATTGAGGATTCTTTATAAAGAAAGAAAATTTTGTTTGTTTTGTTAATTGTCATGAAATGATTAAAGATGAAGAGGAAACTATACAGAGAATTGATTGATTGTTATCACTGATTTGATGATTAGAATCATTTGATTGTAATGATAATTATGATATGATATCAATATTAGGATTCCAATTGATTGTAATTGATGAATTGTTGTTTCTTGAAAAGGGGAAGAAAATAGAATCTAATTAAAACAGCAAGATGATTAGTTAATTGTTAATGATTAGCATTCCGAATCTAAAAGAATAACTTTAAATGGAAAATAAGTTTCTCCAATTAATGGAGTACAATTGAATGGAGAAGATGATTAAACAATTTACTAATTCCAATAATTGATTGGGAGAAAATGGAAAAAATCAAATCAAGAGAAATTAAAGTTTCGTTTTTGATTTACAATAATTAAAATTTTAACAATTAAGAAGCAATAAGATAATCAAATTAAAAGGATCAATTGATGATTAAAATTGTTCAAAAGACGGAGTTAATTGTTGTACATTTGGAAAACACGAATCGATGGCAATTAAGATTTAGGAGGAAGGTGGTAAAAGTTGATTAGTAGAGAGAGAGAGAGAGAGGGAACAATTAATTGATTAACAATTAACAATTATTTGCGATGAAAATTGATCAATATCAATTGAAGAGATTAAGGAAACATAGATTAGTGATAAAAAGATATAAATTCAATTAGGATTAATGAATGATGATGATGATGTTGATTGTTTTAACGAAAAGTGGTAAATCAATGTTCAAACTGTGATTACAATAGAGTTAATTGTTGATAGTTAGAGAGGATAATTAAACGTAGAATGCAAATTAATCAAATAATCAATTGGTAACTTTTTTTGTGGTTTTTTTTTCTTTAATTTCTTTCGTGTTTAATTTAATTATCAATCGATTTCATTGTCTTGTCTCTTTGATTGTTAATTTGATTGTTGTTGTTGATTATTATTATTTTATTCCTTTTCACTCTGTTATCGGTTTAGTTGATTGTTGATAACTGGTTGTTAATGGTGATGCTTTTTCATGCTGTTGATTGGATCTGATTCTTTGGATTAAAGGTTATAACGGATTAGGGATATTGGCGTTAATCTAAAAATCCAGTGCTAACGAGTTTATCTAAGAAAAACTTGAGATCAGCTAATTCGGTGTCTTTAATCCCGAGCGATTTAAGTAAACTCAGATCACCAGATTCGACTGCGACGAATACATCTCGAAGATGATCCAAATCGCTTCGCATTAGATGTAAAGCTTTACCAAAGTCCATCAATGTTTCACTTTCTATGGAAATATAAGAGGAACGAGAAAAAAAAACACTTGGAATTAAAAACAATCCAATTTCGGAAGTAAATTAATTACATGTAAACTAAATCATTCCATTGATTAACCAAAGAAAATGTTCAATGCGACAGATTAGATCATCATGATAAATGAGATTAGTCTTGGATTACAATTCTCTCTTTCTCTTTCTCTCTTCTTGGTCTCAGTTTTAAATCCTTTTCTTTTATCATCTTAATCATCATCATCATCTAAATGATCTTCATGTTGATCCTGATGAAGAAAAATCTTCAAATCTTGAAACTTCTCGGTTGTAGTGATACTTATAAAGAAAAATCATCTTACATTATCTTCATTCGTTTCCATGATAATAATAATGTTCATCATCAGATCTTGAAACATGTTCTCAATTTTCTTAAGCTCAGTGAATAAAAGTTCCAACAATTCTGATCATTATCTATTTCTTTCTCTTCTAGTCCAAGAAAATAAGATGAAAAACTCACCAGGAAACTTGATTATCTCTTAGAAACTGAGTTTCATGATGAAAAAACAAAATATCAAGAAAAAAGAGTAAATTCCAATTACGAATTCAAATTTTCCGTTTTTAGCTTAAAGGTCAATTTCTAGATTCTAATCTTTATTGACCTTTCGATTTCCTTATTCTCATAATAATCAAACGCATGATATTTAACCTTTTTTAATCCAATCGATTTTAATTGTTTGACAATATTGAGAAAATTAAAGTTAATTGAGTTTAGATTTCAATTCAAAGAAATGATAAAAACAAATCTAATTGAAAAGCAACAATTACTTTGGCTAAATAATAATAATTATGCTAATCGTTGGTTAGCATGTTAACCTAATCGTTAATCATTTACATTTATTATTATTTAATTCTGATTAAATTGCTACCCAAAAGTAATTAATATTTATGAGAGTCACGATTCATTTGACCCAAAATTCATGATATAAAATTGATTCTGAAACTGACCATGAACCCAGGGAATGAAAATAATAATAATAACCAATTCCCGAATTCTGATTTCTCTCTAAATCATCAAAATAATCCCAAGGATTTTGAAACAATTAAACTTTACAATTATTGGTGAAAAATGATCATTTTGTTAATCAAATTAACTTGAAACTTGATATAAATTCAAATTCAATGATTACTTCAAATTGTTCAAATTGTTCAAACTGATTGTTGTTGTTGTTGTTTTCTGGTTTGAAATTAATTATCTAATCATGATTAATAAAAGATAAATGAGTTGTTTACAAAACTAAATTGTGATTAATAAATTAAAAGGTTGAGTTAATTATCGTTAAATGTTTTCGGAACGATTAATTAATCATATTTGAACACTTTGTTAACCTTTTGTATTTTCCTGTTGTTATTGTTGAATCACAATTAAACACCAAACAAAGAAAGTTGTTGATAATTACAATGATTAAAGAGCAATTAAGTTAATCATGCAACGATTGCGTGTTAACAATTGTTATTTAATCAACTTAATTGATATTGGACAATTTTTTCATCATCTCTCCCTGGCTAATCAATTGGTGTCAACAATTAAACTTGTTAACACAATTTATGCTGATTTGCTGGGTTATATGTATGTAATTATTATTAATCACAATTAAAATTATATATATAAACTTGAGCAACAATTAAGAAAATTAAACAAATTTTTCCCTCTCAAAATTTCAAAGCAAATTAATTGATTGTTAGACTTACATTAAGCTCAACCAATTAATTAACTTTGTTTTTCATTTACTTCAACCATTAAAATCGTAGGCAAATAAATTATTATTATTACAATTAACTTAATTATACCAAGGGATATTATCATCATTATTGAAATAATAACTTCCGGTTGATTCTGGAATAAAAAAGTTATAAATAAATATCACAACATTTACTCATGAAGTTACTCTGAATATCAGAATAATATTATTTCTGATACTTTAGTTGAGTCATTGAAAATATTATATTCATGGAAACATAATCAAGATCCATTATCAGCTAATAGTTACATTTAATTCATGATTAAGAAAACCTCTTGAAAGTTAATCAAGGTGATTACCCTGAATATTAACCTAAAATTTTGCCTCAAGGTGAACGATGATGATTATACTTATCATGAGTATTTTAAGTTCCAGAGTCACAGAACTTTTTTGTTTTAATACTTGAAAAGAAAGAAGAAAATTTTTTTTTTCTCTCCAAAATCATCATTACAACTTTGTGAGTTCTATGAATAATAATAATTATATGAATAATTTATTATCCTTAAGGAAGAACCATGTGGTTACCATGGTTACTTGGCAGAATTTAAAGAAATAGAGAAGGAAAAGTTTCAAGTAAGAAAAATATTCTATTAATTATAATTGATTGTTAATAAGTGAATCAAGTAATAGTAAAAGTAGTAGGAGGAAATTTGTTGATTCGAGGATAAGAACTTGTAAAGTAACAAAAGGATGAAGAAGATGCTAAAGTATCATGGTGAAGACGATGATGTTTGTTGTCATGAAAACGAATAAAAAAAGAAACTTTTTCTCCATTTTCTTTCAATGGATAAGAAACAAAAATGGAACTAAAAGTGCAGCAATTGAAAAGAAAAAAGTTCCAACTCAACTTTTACCAGAACTTTATCTCTTTCATGATGTTACTGGTTATTCTCAGATGAATTTATCTTCTTTATATTATGTACAATATTTCAGATCATGATGAAGAGTAACAAGGAGAAAATCGTAGATACCTTTTGTTTGATTAAATTCTCAGAGATGGAATATTTTTTTTTTCATCTCAGGAACAAAAAATGGTTTCATCATGATCAATATCATGTTATCATGATTAATATATAAAAACGAGTAAAGTTCAGTGAAATTCATCATGTTTTTCACTGGTCACCTTAAGGTTTATCCAGAGCCATAATCAGAACTTTTTGTTTTGACCATTCATTTGCCATGGGCTAGATTCATGTAACGAATCACCATCATCATGAAAAAGTTTATGATGATGAAAAAAAGTTCTGATTGCATGAAAACTGAACAATTTACTAGATTAAAAGTTACAAATCTTTAGCTGTCAGTTAATTTTTTGTTAATCTTTCACCTTTGGAAACGTTAATTGTTACGTTGATCAGATATTTTCATCCATATAATTATGACACTCTCAAAGCTATGATTAATTATAATTATTGATTAACCTTTCAAAACAACCGGTAATTTAATCAAAAAGTTAATTGTACATTTGTTGATTTAATGTTACCTGTTATCAGATTATTTTAACCTGATCAAAGTCATGATAACTTTTATTTCAAGTTTAATTGTTGAGGTTATCTTTTTGTTTTATCCAATTCAATTAATTTAATCACTTGATTGTGTCATTGTCTATTATCAAAGGTTGAGCTGATTGTTAATAATCAGAGAGGCTTTATTTCCCATCCACAATGAGAGATTGTAATTAACTTTAATTTAATTGTTGAGCTATTCTGATGAATGGTTAAACCATGATCAGTACTGATTTCTTATTCATAATCAATTCGTAAAGTTTAATCAAAATTAGCTTAATTGGTTTAAATTAGATTATAAATTTACGGTTTCAAATGATACCAATTAACAGGAATACAAATAAAAAACTTTTGGACGATTGATGATTAAACTTTCAATTAAACAGCTAATTTTTTGGTCAATTGAGATAAAAAAATACTCTCGTTTAAGGAAAATGAATGAAAATTTTACTGACCATCATATGGATGGTCAGTGTGATGGAAGAAGACTGTTCAATCGATTCTGAACATGAATTCATCTTCACTTTCATCTTAAAATGATCATAAAGAGAGAGAGAGAGAGAGAGAGAGAGAGAGAGAATGGTCAAGAATAGGATATGATCATTTGGAGATTGATCAAAGCTTCCAAATCCTAGTAGCCATTTTTCTTTGAAATATCTTACATTATCTTTGTATCATACATTTCTCCCACACATACAACTGACCTTATCTCTCTCTCTTCTCTAACTGACCACTATCACAGATGATTATCTCAAGTGAGTTGAGACACAACAATTGAACCAACAATTGTCCTCTTGTTATTATCACCATTGAATGTAATCATTGATTAATTGATTGCTTAGACCCTTAAAAACATGTCCCAATTAAATATAACAATTGCATACTACTCACTTGCTTGATTAACTAATCACTTTTACAATCATCATGCTGGGGTAGTTTAAGCTTTCAATCGAATCTTAGCTAATCTAATTGTTGCGAAAAAAATCAAATCAAAGCTATTTGTACCACCTCACCGATTTTCTTACAAATTTATATAAAAATAGATCGGCGGAAATGCAAAAGTTAGGCTGAAAATAGTTTTTTTTCTAGGTTTAATACTTTTAGCGCTAAACCAGTTTTTCGAAAAAAACTTTGAAGCCTGATTATGGTCAGAGTATTTACTCTAGAGAGCCGCATGCAAAGCAGCAACAGCTGAATACACCACAACAGTCCTTGGAACCTTGTCAATAGGTATCAAAGTTGATAATAAAATCATCAAAATGAACTTAGAGATTCTCAGACCTCTTATCTCCGCCATGATCTGTTTCTGCGGTGTATTTTTCTTTTTGCCTGATATAAGTGTAGAATGGCCTAATTAATCTAAGCGGTCTGTTTTAAAAATGATCAGTGCCAAAAGAATTCGTACTAAAACAATCATCTACTCCATCCTTTCATTATCATGATTTCTAAATGCACATAATAGAGGTAGAGGTCTTTACCATTGGATCCACGAATAAAAGCTAGGCCTTCGAAAGAGACCAGAAACCAGCCTTGTTATTCTTACATTGTGCCGCTGCCAACTCGACCACCAACACCCTCATCCAAAAGTGTACCACCTCCACAACCATTTAGACTTTATATTTTTGGCCCTAAAATTACACAAAGTCTCAACTCTTAACTAAAAGAATAATTTTTTGCAGTTTGTCCTTTAGAGTACGAAAATTCTCCGCCGAATATTGTAGATCTCGATTTGATTAATTTACTTGAAGGTGATATAATTAACATTAGATCTTATCCTTTTTTCAAATCTCTCTAATTATTATCAATGAGAAAATTTAACAAATTCAATTGAATATTATTCCGCGCTAACAATTATTGATAGATAACTGAATTAAAGATAACAAACTTGACTCTAAATGAGATTCAATGATCAGAATTATTATAAACTCGATACAATCAACAGACTAAATCAAATCTTGTGGTTATATCATCATAAGAATCATCTCTCTCTGTCTATGAAAAGGTAAAAGTAGGTCAACAACTCAAGGTTATCTCATGATAATTTCAATTCTTTCATGAGAATTTTTTTTCCTTCTCCCTGGTGAGAAAAACAAAGCAGAAAATGATTCTGAAAATTCATAATAATATTCATCATAAGAGTTGATCAGTAAGTTAATTTTTTAAGAGAAAAAAAAATAACCCAAATACTTAAAGTAAACAAGTTCAGTTCTTTACTCGTTTACATCATCATGAAATAACTTGGAATTGATCATGATTATGATGATGACTGTTATCTCAAGTTGATTAATTTAGATTTGTTCAAATCTAATGATATGATGCAATATTATTGCATTAAAAACAAACTTTTACAATCAACAAATTGTTTAAAACATGATCATGATATTAAACTAATAACAGTTAATTATCATGTTGTACATTCATGATAACAACTATTAACATGGTAAAAAGTACAAGGGGATAAGTAATTTACCTGAATAACAAATATAATGAATCACTGGAGGTACAAAATCTTAACCATGATACTTATCTGGTTCATGTCAAAATCTTATCATGTAATAGATGAATGTTTGAACTGAGTATATAAAAACAAAGGAGGAAGAAAAAAGTTCCAAGAAAACTCTGATATCAATCTAACAACAAATCTAAGCTACTTCCGACTTTCCTTATTCCATGAGATTCATTAGCTGAATGTTTAATGTTCATTTAACAATCATGATGATTTAGCACAAAGTTAAAACTCTGGAAATGTTGGAACTGGGAATTGGTATTATTAATATAAATTCAGAGAGATTGAGTGAGTGGGTTGAATAAGAAAGAATCAAATTAAAAGGTTAGACTATTGATTTCCATTGTAAACAATTTCATCGGTTTTTCTCGTTAATTGTTACAATACAAATCGAGGTAAATTATTGTAATTAATCCTTAGAAGGTAATTAAATCAATTTAAAGCATCAACAGTAGCAACAATTAAGTATTAGAAACAACAACAAGAACAAGAAAATTACTAAAATTAAAAAGTTACATGATAATCAGCATAAAATTAAAGGTAAACAAACTGAATTAATTGTCTCTCAGTGATTATATATTGAAGGTGATAATTAAAGGAATGAGTTTACAATTAAGGAGAGAATCAGGATGTAAATCAAATCGATTGTGATAATTGTAGATTATAAAATTCACTTCGTAATTGGAAACATCGTAATGGTAAAGTTTATATGATGAATAAAGTATTAATGTATTAAGAAATTGATTACTCATTCAGAATATCATGAAATTTTCACCGAAAGAAAAAAAAATTTAAATACATTGATTACATTAAACGTGAACACCATTGTAATCCTGATGTTCATGAAACTTTAATTTCATGATAATAATATTGTTATTACTTTTTTCTTTCTTTAAAAAGTAATATCGTAAATGGAATGAAATTATTTACATGAAAATTGGTAACGAAAGTTCAGTTCATTTACCTGATAAAGCTTCGGCAACTTTTTGAACACCACCGAGTGGTTCGAGTGCATCTCTGGCTTTACGACCAAACAATTTTTCCAAGTAATTTGGTCCATGTTGAGTTAATAGTGTTTGTAGGAAATTAGCAGTCTCATCGATTGGAGGTCTTTTAGCTGATAATTAATGTCAATAATTTACAGGTAAGAGAGAGAGAGAGAGAGAGAGAGAGAGAGAGAGAAAATAATTATTTCATCATGGAAACGATCATGATAATGATCTGGGAATCAAATGGTTTATGGTTAACGTTAATTTTTCCTATTGAAAATTTCTTGTATATATTATTTCAAACTGAACAGATATCATGATATGTTCATTGGAAATGTTTACCAGGGGAACTATTATTTCCGATGAATTTTCAATAAAACATTTAACTATCTTCTTCTGGTTAATGTTAATCATTGGGATTGTTTTTATTTCCACAGTTCCTTTTTTTCAATCAACTGATTCCAATACATTTTCATGATTTTATATTAATAAAAACATGAGAATCTAAATGAACAACATTATAATCTAACCTGATTACATATATAAATGAATGTAGAATCAATTTCATGGGGAAAGATTTTGTTTTTGTTTTTCTACTTTCATTTTATAATCAAAACAATTAAATCATAATTCATGCTGATGGAAGAAAATATTTTTATTTTTCATTCTAAAATTGATATATCAATACAATTGGAATAAGTTTATCCTTCATCATTGATAATCTTAGAGATCTTGATTAACTCATATACCATTGACATACTTTCACATTTATTGGAACTGAAAATAATGAGGATAATTCAATAAATAATCTCAACAATTTCATCATGTAAAAAGCATGAAACTGATCCATTATCTGAATAACTGAGTATCCATTCATATATATATTCATGGCAAATATTCAAGTACTTTCTTATCCCAAATACTATTATATAATCAGACTGACTTATTGATCAGATCTCAACAAGTTACCATGATGGTAATTCAACAGATTCAATAATATTATTATTTTCATGGCGGTTTTAATGTTCAAGATTTGGAGGCACAAAAAAACATGGATAACTATTATCCACTAATCTTGAATTATTATCATTATCATGCTCTAAATGTTTACATTTATGATTATTCATGATTAGCATTCAACTTGTAATCCTGAAAATCCTAATTTTCCCGATAACTATTTACCTTTGCTCATCATGATTAAAGTTAATCTAAACTTTGACTGTCAATTGAAAATAAATAAATACTATTAAGTAAATTAAGATTCTCTCTTCAACAATTGGATTACTAATCATTTCAAGGTTCAGTTGATTTGATTAAATTGTTCTGACAATAGTTTTCTTCTCGTAAATCATGATAAAAATAGTAAAATAGTGAAGAAAAAACTGAACAGACAATTTGAAATAATTTCCTATCAAATAAATGGTAACAAAGTTTCGGATTCGAGTTCGAAAATAGGATAATAATAAGATTATTGAAATCGATTCTTCAGATGAAATTAAGAATATTATCAAGATTTACAATGTGAGTTTTAAAAGATAATTGTCTTTATCCTTTTTATTGAATTCGAAATTGATTTAGATCAGTTTCCCGTCAATGGAATTTTTTTAAACTCTTTTATCTATCAGATGATCGTGATAATCCTAAGCTGACCTTAAGCCTTCACCTTTAGTCCTTTAGATAACTTGGTATGATAACTGGAAGGGAGAAAATCCTTCTACCTGCTGAGTTTTCAGTAATTCTGAATAATAATAAATCGTAAGCACCATGATCATCATCATGGTAACTTTATCTTTACTCTTCCTGTTATTTGGTGATAAATATCATCGAAACTGAACATTACTGGAATCAGTATGTTCTGACAGGGAATCGTTCAAGATGGATAGACAAAGTGGATAAATCAATTGAAAATCATGATACTTGTGAAGATTTCAGCTATTATAATAAATCCCTTCCAATCCTGAATTTCAACCTGACTGAGTTTCAATTTTTCCTTTTTCTTTCTCACACAGAATTCAATGGAATCAGAAATAAAACCAATGCAACAATTTTTTCATCTCCATCTTATTCTTGCTTCTTCCTCTCTCTCTCTCAACTGAACATTCATGTTGACTTTTCATGATATACTTTTCTCTTTGCCATGGAGAACAATAAATTCTTTATTCATGAGCATCAACTTATCCAATGTAACCATTACAATGACTGTGGCAAGAAAGCTTCATGAGATACAAACTTACAGGTGAGACGAAAAGAGAAGCTCATCTTCAACTGAACTTTTCCATGATAATATGACACAGAGATTGTGTCATTTACTTTACCAGTTTCATAACTTATTAAACCTTCATTCACTTTGACTATGCAGATACATAACAAGTCAATATAAACTTGATTATATTGATGCTCACGATAAGCAGAAAGAAATGTTCATCGTCATGAATCTCAAACTGAATTTTCATTCATAAAGAAAAGAAAAGAAGAAAGAAAAAAATCAATAACAACTTACCCGCCGTACAAAGTCTCGGATCTTCATCGTAATTATCCTTACAATCGGGTGCCCCATCACATAGATATTGTATAGATATGCATACATTTTCTTTACCCGGACAACGGAATGGCTCGGTTGGTCGACATCGCTCTGTATCAACTGGACACAAGAAAAGAAAAGAATATTTCAAATTTTCCCAAAATTCCAATAGCAAAAGAGCAAACAAAAAAACAGTCACAAGAAAAACTTTTCCCAGGTACAGATTCAATTATGAAATAAAGTTAAACCTAAACTCGTTAACCAGGTAACCCAAAGTCCACCAAGAAACTCTGGGCTCTCATCACTAAAAGAAATTATCATTTTCTCAACTAATATCAATTTATACCAGGTAACCTTGATTTTCATTTGTCAATCCAACACGACAACAATTTACATTATACATTACATCAAGGTAACGAGAGTAAATATTTAATATTATATTTCAAAGGTAAAAAAAGACTCAGGTAAAAACATCATTACAATTTCATCAAATTTATTTATCATTGTGTTTTGTTGTCTTGCTCATTTTACCTTTGAAATTGTTACATAATATAAAATAATATATTTATTTCATTCAGGTAACAATAAATATCATCATAAATTATATTGAAATAATGATGCCAATTGTTTGTATTCAGAGACTGATGAATTACAGGGTGATAGGTAAATACTGGATGATTTATCCAACTAATAGTTTCAAGTATATGATTTTGAGTGAATGATTAACTTGTATCATTTTTGTTTTACTAAATTTTCAACATGATCATTAGAATTACAAAACTTTGATCATCATGACATTTGGATATTTTTCAGATGATTGGTTGAAATTTTGACCATTAAGCTTCTTGATTAGATTAGGTTAATGGTTAATTTTAGTAACATGATTAGTTACCTGAGTAATTAAATCGTTGATATAACAACAAAAGTCAATTATCATTAGTGATCAAGTAGATTATCATGAAATAATGAATTATCTTTATCAAAAAGAGCTTGTTTTTTTGTTTTCTGACTCTCAATCTATTTTTGAACTTTCCATGAAAAGTTAAGTTATAATTAACTGAATAATCTTGAAATCTACAGATAAAATCTTTTGACTCTTACGAATATTGTATCACAAAGTTATGAAGATAATTTCATGAGGAGAGGGAATAACTATTGTTACAACAGTAGTATCATGATATTACAGAATGGAAAGAGAAAAAGAAAGAAAAAGTTTCGAAAACTTTTCTCTCTTCTTGTTCCAACAATATTACTATTAATCTACAATTCAGTTGTGAACTTTTACTTTTTCCCCTGGGAGTTTTTCCATGGAAAGAAATAAAAATATATAACGATAATAATTATTACGATGGTCTAGCGATTATATTTCGTGATAGGAATGACCAACAAGATGACCGAATGAAGAAATGGATATAGATATTTAATGATAAAACTACTACTAAATGATGGACAGAATTTTGATCCGAAAACATCATCAGGATGATGACAGGAAGATTATTTAATCGATAATTGTTGAAATTTTGAATTATTATCGTGGTAATTAGATCGATTGTAGAAACTTTCATGATGTAACATGATGATGGGAAAATATTCTAATGAAAAAAAATCACCATAGGAATGGGAAATTGTTTGTTTTGGTCAATTCATGATGGTCAATCTCTTTTTCCCCTTCAATACTTATCAGAATCAATTTAGATCAAACTGATTTTTGTTCATTTAAACCAATTATTGTCATGTGAAAAATATGATGAAATCAAACTGACCAGGTCAATGAATATTGATATTGATGATAATGTTTCTCCATGAAACTTTTCATAAATGAACTTGATGATAAATTGACTCTGGAAACTAAATAGACGGGGGAGAGAGAGAGATAACATTTTCTGGTTATCTTCAAGACCCTGACACTTGAATAGATTTACCTGTTATCATTTATTCAAACTGAACAAGTTCCTGTTTCATTGCATCCTGTTTTTCATGGAAAACACCATGGTAATAGATATAAAGACTGCAAAGAATGTATTCTAAGCTGAAAATCTATTCAGAACTTGCTCAGAACTTTCCACCTTTCCCCTTGTCTTTTATTTTTGTATATTCTCAATGGATTGTGTAGATAAACATTTGAATGCTGGGAATAAATTCAGAACCAAATTCATTGGAATAACAACAAAATCAATTTTAACGAATATGAATGGATCGGAACATTTCTTGTCGAATCTAAAATTTACACCATTCATACTCTAATTCATGGTGGTCGATAATTAATAACTCGTCAGTTTATCTCCCATAATATTATCAACAGTTAAATCTAATCATTGAAAACGACTGAAGATTAAATAATTGAATCAAAATGATTAGTAATGAAAAATTAATCGGACAATTGATTGAGTCTAGAAATAGTTTCACTTTGATATCTATCAAGTGTTTGATTAATACTTTAGTTTAATTAAGTTCAAAGTTGATTGTTGTTGTTGTTATTGTTGATTGTTGATGATTATTTTTATACCAAACAATTGATTGTTATCATTCAAATCTAATTGATTTTGATTGTATTGGGTTTTTTTTTAAAAAAAATCCATCTTAATCCAACAATCATGTTGACCTTTAAACAATCAATTATTAATTAAACTAGTGAAACTATTAAATCATTTGATTGTCACACTATCATGATAATCGTGATTAAATAACTTGATTGGTTAAAAGCAATTGTTACACGTTGATTTATTGCCAAATGACACAATTAAATGGCAGATTAAGTATTAATATATTACTATCACTTTGATATAAAATAAGTTCCGATATTATTGTTATAGTTCGTATTGATGTGATAATTTTAATTGATTTTATTCAATTCAAATTGAGAGAATCAACAATTTGACCTGATTATCAACATTATCAGAGGGACAATAAGTCTAATCGATATTTGTAATTAGTGATTAAAGACAAGACATTTGCATAAATTATCTTAAATGATTAACAGGCTTTAGTTGTATTTAATTATCTTACAAATGATTATAATCATTGACACTCTGATTTGTTAATGATGTGCAGGCTATTTATTCAGTCTAAATGAGTGAACCAACCAATCTGATTAACTGATTAAGTTGTAATTTAATCATCATCATGATCTACCCTTAATTAAAATGTTCTTCTCATACTTGATTGTTGAATCTTGAAGTCGCAAGGAATGATCAGAGTAGATCAGAATTTTCTGATTCCAATGATATAAAACAAAATGTTTAGGACTCTTGGGGAGTTTTCAAATTTATCTCTGATAATTTTGATAACTGATTATGAGGATTAGAGGTTTGGAGAATTAGTTTTTGGTGAAAGAAATTGTAACATGATCGTCATCATTTTGAGTCTTTTGTCACAAAAGAATAGGTATTGAAAAAGATGAGATAATCTATTGATAAGTTTCTCAAGAGATTCTCCATGGAAGAAATTTTTCTCCCTTATCATCATCATGAGATCATCTTGACGATTCTATTAGAAGAAGAAAATTCAAAATAGAAACAGAAATAGACACAGAACTATTTGTTCAGGTTCATCTCATGAACTTTTTTTCTCATGACTCAAGCTCGTTGTCTCTTAATAAAGTCTCTCTTATATATAAATGAATAATTGATTACATATAAGAATAAATATCGTTAGTTTCGTCATTCAGATTTTCAAGTATTCATTTTATTCATATTTTTTTCTTACTGAATTTCAATGAACAAAGACCATGAAAAATAACATTGAAACATCATCATGATGTAGAAAAAAACATCGGTGAAAAAAATTGAATGAACAAGAAAAAAAAGGTAACTAAAAATTCACTTAATAAATGTACATGTATTATCATCAGAATTTTAATCGTGAGGTTCACTGAGTTTACAGTTACTAAAATCATCATGAATTGAAATAAGAGAGATGGGAAATTCTCTATTCAATTTAATCTAATCAAATAGTTGATTCAGTTAATCAATAGTTATAATCATATCCCTGAGAGACTGGGAGTGAAAATGAAAACACAAAGAACGAAAGTAAATTAAATTAAATGCAATATTTTTCTCCGGATTTCTACTAATAATAATGAACAATAAAGAATCTGTAAGATAATGGTTATCATGATTGCCCATGATGCTCAGGTAAAAAAATAGATGATGAGGATGATGAGTATATAAAGGAAAGAAAAAGGTAAAATAATAATTTTTCATCATCATCATCATGAAGATAACCTGTTAACACGGAAAACCCTCATTACCGGAATGAATCTTGTTTCCAATTCACGTTAATCTTATATTGGTTTATTTTCATCGCTACCCATTAGATTGAGATCCAAATAAAGTCATTCAATTTCAATCATTTCCGTCTCATCTTTTTCATCAACTGATAATCAATAAATTTTTCGGCTCTCGCAATATACTTTGAGAGATGGTAATATTATCATGATCGGATGCTAATAAGCTTAAAGGTAAAACCTGTATGATTACACTTTGCATTAAACAATAGCCAAAACTAGTCGGTGATGAAGGTTAATGTATCCTGAGTCGGAAAAGGAAAAGATTTCAACCAAATTTATTGTTTTCCAATTTCTCCTTCTTTAAATGAAAAAATCCCTGTCAAACTGACCATCATCAACAAAGCAGTATTTTAGACTCGTCATAAGTTCACTATGATATATGATCTCGTTGCAGCTCGTTCAATTTTGAATGAATGTGAATTAAGTTCGGAAAACAGAACTTTCTTCAGAATCTTCCTCAATAAGGTTTCCAGGGTTATCCAAGATACGGATGATATGGAAATTGACTTAATTCAACCATCATCACCTGTACTCTCTTCCTCTTCTGCCCTCGGTGATCTATCCCTATTTTCCAATTCATCATCCAATGATAAACTTGCTAACATCATTAAAGCTTTGAATTCAATCAACACCACCTTGGGTGTAATGGTCCAAGACAATAAAACCATTCATCAACGACTCGATACAATTGAGTCACGCATTCGGGATAATAGTGATATATGTGAGCCAGCATTGGATGAAGCCGAAGATATGCCCTGGGTTTAAAAGCATTTAAATCTTCGGGTTATGGATTTTTTTGCTTCGTTTTGTTCAGCAGTTCATATACCGACTG